AAATCGAGTTTGTATGGTTCAATTTTATTTTAAGGTCCTATAGCATTATGCACTTGCCAGTATTTGAGTAAAAATCTGGGCTTTTATAATAGGCTGTATATTGTTCGTTCACAGAGAGAATTGAATGGATTGCTCTTGCTGTGGCAGTGAGTGTGGTAGGATCTAGAGTTTTGTTGGAGAGCAAACCGACTAGGTCAGTAATGTTTTGGGGATGGAAATTGAATTTTTCCCTAACTGAGGAGTAGAGCAAACAGTCAATCAATATGTGACTTTCGTCCTCAATAGGCTTGAGCCCTTAATTGCTGAAAAAGCAGTAGGTGCACCAACTTTCTTTTCTTGGTACAAGGGGGATTTCGTATCTGCCCCTTTCGATGTAGAGGTTGTGGCAGCTGATACGAAACCTTGTCAGACTTTTTCGAACATCAGGTATTTTGATAATTATAATTCGTAGAAATGCCTTTGGTTCGAAATCATGTTTAATTAAGTTATAGAATTCTAGTTTTGTCAAGGAGGCACCATAGTACAAAAATAAGTTGTAACGCGATACACTTCTGAGCCGCGCATCAAAAAATGTTTTTTGGCTTTTGCTACTATTATAACATTGTATCGAGAAATGGAATTTAATATTATTGGGCCGCTACGAGCTGATATGAGCTTGAGAAAGTTTGGTATATTTTATTAAAACGAAGTTAGAAGTGCGATGCTTTATGTGTATACATACCTTTTTACCTTTTCTTAGAAAATGCCAACGGCCGCCGCGCAACCAGCAACGTGTGTCAATGCTGAATGCAAAAGATGGCAGATTATTTTTTGCAGCATTTCCATCGAAAAGGAAAATCTTTGAAGAAATACATTCGTCTGCCTCAAGTAGGTTTAATAACTTATCCTTAGTTGACTGGTTAATATAGTCATTTTTGCAAAACACTACTATAGGTTTCTCCGAGTGAATGTTATGTACTGTGAGCTCGACAGCTAGCTCATGGATGGTTAGTTGATGCTGTGTGCTAAATGTTTGGGTGCTTGGCATTGTGCTTTGGTGACCTGTGGGCAAGTTGATGATGTGGCTGGTAGCACTTGACTGGATGATTGCATTTAAATGCTCATTAGTGGACTGCAGGAGATTTGGATGGATCATGATCATCAATGGCCAATGAAGCAGATATTATAATTGGTGTCATTATTTTCTTCCAAAACACAGTTAGTACATGGTACATTTCCCAGAAAAACAGTTAGTTCATGGTACTCCGGGGGGTGTCCAACCCCAAAAAACCCATTTTTCCTCAAATTTCAATTTTGGGAATGGGTTTCTTGGGTTTTGAGGTTTTTTTTGAGTTATTTTTGGATTTTTTTGAACTTTTTTTCCTGTTTTTGTAACTTTACATCTAATTCAACTATTGAAAACAAAACCCCTACTAAATAGTGGGTATAATTTGCCCATTTCCCAACGTTGAATGAGCTGTTTAAAGCAATTCATGGGTGGGTATCTTATTTTATATACCAAGACACAGTTAATACCGTGATTTCTCAACAGTTAGTACCACAAAAGCCGGCAAAAGGGGTTGGGTGTTTTAATTATTATCCGAAAAACAGTTAGTACCGCGAAGGGGTTGGGTGGGTCTTTTTTGTAAATTCCAAAGTTACACTTAGTTGACGCCACGTACGCCACAAGCCATTCCACAAGGGCTGACCTTAGGGTTCCAATGCTTTTTATCGTCAACTTTGCTCACCTCTATCACTTCCAAAATAGCTTTCAGGTCTACTAAAGAGTAAAAAAGTAACCTACCGGTTAAGAGTTGCTGCTCATATAAGCAAGAAATCAGGATCAAAAACAATGGTACCAACTACCAGATAGTCAGTGGTGAAACATACTCAATTTTATTGGTTCCAAAAAAAGGTTGGGCCCCCTTTTTTCCCCTCCCAGTGGCGTAATGTTGCCTGGTCAGCGGGCCCTTCGTTACGCCCCTCCCCCCTACAGCTTTTGCCGCCCCCCTGGAAGCAATGAATACACGAATACTTTTTTCATGTCGACCAAATGTTAAATTGGACAAATTACGGCAAATTGGGCGTTTTTGCTTTAAAAAATACCTGAAATTCAGAAAAATGCTACCCCCCCCATAGCGGGTGCGGTTGTTTTGCCACTGATCATAGTTTTGCTTCATGTTTCAACTTATTTATTGCAGACAATGAATAGCAGCAGTGATGATCCTATGTCCTGTAACTATTGTGTCGACAGGACTGGAACTCCAGACACTACTAGCCGTTTGACTAGAAATGGATTTAGTGACTTTTCTTTGACAGGCTATGGAGCGATAAATAACTCTTTTGATGACTATGAGTACAACAAAAACTCACCTGATTCAGAGTATCATCATAATTACGGGCTTGAGGACAGTGTTGGAACTACCCAGAGAACTTTGATGTCTATTGAATCAAAGATACTACGACCATACAGCGCAATCCTCAAATTTCTTGGAATGCGCGAGTTGAGAGGAGAATACTGCATTCACAAATTGATGAGTGTTCTTTGGCCGATTCTTCTCTTCTGTTGCCTCATCAGTGGTTATGTGATAAATTATGAGATTTGCCAGAATGATGAGCATCCTTCATATGAAACAGCTGAACATGACAAAATGAAAAATATTTGTGCAAATGCAAGTCTGTCTTACATATACATGGATAGTTTATGTGAATCAACCTTGGACAGTGTACTTCCAAGTGCTATCCATTTCATTGCATTTGCTTTTACCTTCTGGATATTTAGAATCAAGCGTAGTGAGCAAGTTGAGGCTCTTGTCCAGAAGTGTTTTGTGACATCATTTTCTGGTACCAACACTGATGCCCACAAAAAGCAGTTAAACAGAAGGCTGAAAGTTTACTCCTTGTATGGATTGATTTCCCTTATTGGCCTGCTGATAATGACTCTTATCAATTCCTATTTTGGAAAAACGTTGGTGCTATCAAGATGTATGGAATCATACCCACTTTCTTCAACTCAAAAATATTTTACAGGGATTGGTTATGCCATTCCCATGTTTCTAATGCATGTCACATATTTCCCTATCCTGGTAAACTACATAATGCAATCTCGGCTCATTGGATTCCTGATTAATGAACTACGTGAAACCCTTCGAGAAAAGAGGACAACTCTCAAAGTTCTCATGCAAGAGTCTCATGACACAAGCTCCTTTGTACACAAAATGAATCACGAATCATCACCAGCAGTCTCTCTTATGCTGTTTTACCTCTTTTATGGCTTTTTCATTGATATGAGAGTTATCATTGCTAAGTCAAGAAAAGCTGGATCACTTTCAAACCTCTGGGATTATGGATCGCAGTGCAATCTTGACGTGTACTCAGCTGAGGAGTGTCAGATTGTTAATGAGGTTATGAACTTTGGCAGAGTATCACTGGTCAGCATGATTGTTAAACATTTCATTCTGGGGTTGCTTGTGTTTCTATTGGTAGTTGAAGGTTGCAAAGTGAGTATGTCATTTCATCGGCTCATCAATCAAGCAATGGAAACCAGGGTGTTTGGGTTCAAGTCAGCTTGCTTCCATGAACTGGATTCCTTTCACTACTACTTGAAAAGCTTGCGTATGAGAGCAAAATTGTTTCAATTTCCTCTGGAAACAAAACGGCTCTTGTTCCCTTTTATCGTTTTGATTTACATTGGATTGTGCATCTTGATGACTTGGTCAGAATGAAAGATTGACAAACTGTCTGTTGGTAAAGCTTTTATGTTTGAAGAATCGAAGATTGAAAGAGTGATGTACTTAATGACCAGAGCTAGAGTTCCATATTACTATTAAGTTGTTTGCCTTTCTACTTCCCATAGAAAAATTGCCATGTTAAATTGTAGCTGAGTCATGGAAACAAAAAAAACTTCGTTTTTATGAGAAAAAGTTGAACAAATCAGACTTAAAACCTGATTCCATCTCTCAGTTAAGTTTTTTATGGGTTTTGCAAAATGTGTCTATAAAGCTTGTGTTATAGAAATTTAACTAACTGATTTTGATTGGGTTTTCTACGTTTTTATTTTATAACGAGATTCCACTGTGGTTGCATACGTTTAATGAAACTTTTTTTGACATTTTATGAATGTTTTGAAAACTCAAATTTTAAAGAAGTAATTTTGTAAGTACATCCATACCGTACTGAGATGCAGCCCCTATACAATATACCTTATACAATATACGTCATGTAGTCGAAAGTTCAACTTGAAACTTTTATACCCAATTCCTCAAAGTCTGAGTGATGAGAATAATGATTAGTCAAATACCGTTTTATTTTTGTTGACGAGCTCATAAACCCTGGTTACAGTGTTGAATAATTCAATTGCACCATGAGTCTAAAATCGAACCACTAACTCTGTCTAGCTTAAATCAGCGTCTTACTGTAATCAGGATTTTAATGCAATACAGATTATAATAATGTTCTAATTTTGATGTTTTTCCGTTTTTACTTTTCCAAATGTTGATGTAATTTGTACTGGTTGAACCAAATTAAGTCCACTTGAGTGAGTTGCTATAGCGAGATGGCTTTGAACTTGAGAGTTATAAAATGAAGATTTATGTTTGATACTTTTATATTGATTTGTTTGAGTTTATGATTTATATATTACTGTAGTTTACATAAAATGCGCTATAATACTTAAATATATACTATAATTAAAATTACCATAATTTGGGAAATGATTTATATACATGTGTCACATTGATTGATTTCTATTCACCATTTGAAATTTGGCATGTAAGCATTTTAATTTTATACGATTTAACTACATTGAATATTAAAATTTTCATAGCCACCAGAGTTTTCCTTATGTACCAACTTAAACTGAATGTATTATAAATTATTAATCTTAGGATGCATCTTCACAGTATCTTCGCAAATTTAAATGATCATCTTATTTTCAAAAGTACAAATTAAGTGTGCAAAGCAAAGTCTAAATTCCGACCAGTCATCAAGTCTATACCCAGGCATCTAACAACCACACATTTACAGTCTCTATGTTAAAGCAATGTATACAGATAATAGCAGAAAAGGGTTTACAAGGTTTGTCCGAACACGATTAATTAATTTTATATAGTTCATATAAGTTTGGAGCTTTATGTAGAGAGTTGACCCATATTTTTTAGTCACGTGACATTTGCTCATTGCTTTGATTGGTCGCTGGAAGCTGATGAGGTGATGGCTGTAACGTGTCAGATAAAACATAGTAGTATGTTACCACATTAACAATGTTTTCCAAGGTATCGAGTACTCCGAGCTACTAGTACTGCTAAGTTATAATGCCAGATGGGGGAGTAACGTTGAGTGCCCCATATTCAGGGAGAAACTCTGGAAGCACATAAGCAAACATGAGTCTCTGTTTTTCTACTGTCCTCGCTCCCATAACCCGACAGGTATTTGAATTTGATGATTTTGTGACGTGTAGATTATAATATTATCAATGATTGTTCGACAAAGTTATGACAACTTAGTGTGATTTATAATACGCCCCCAGTTGAATTTTGTTTGTCTACTGCCTCCTCACTTCACAAGTAAACAACATAACACTACCGTCTACCATATAATAACACATAAATTGAGCTCAGTGCTATATAATACTATAATACCTCCGCTACTGAGTGCTAAGCGCGATAATTCCCGACAGCTTGCTGGAGGGAACGTGCGGGCACGAAGTAGCGGAGGTATTTTATATTATAATATTTTCCGGTCCCGATTGGAAGGGGTGTAATCCGATACGTGCACATCATACAATATAGTGTGTAATATATAGAACGCCAGTGTTATTTGTTTTAATACTTGCCGCCAGCCAGTCTGAGTCTATGCTGATAATACCTTCGCTTCCCTTGCGGGATATATCTGCAAATTATCAGCTCTCAGTGTTATGTCCACGAGTTTTAGTGGATATAATTCCCGGAAGGTATTATAATCAGGGTGACTGGCTAGAAACTGACTGGAGGGGGTTTGTAGTCCCCCAGCATAGCAACCCTGTGTTTCATTTGTTAATTTTCTCAGAAATCCTATAGAAACGTTTGCACTGTCAGATCAAATGAGAGGTATATTTTGGGCGTTATTATGTGGTTAAATAAACAGCATGAGTATTTCAGTATTGAGTGTGCAATCTAGAAATAAAAATGGTGAACAATTTCAGAAGAGAAGCTGTACGATAAACCTCAAAACGTAGCGGATGATCAATCAAACAACCTTCATGGTTACTGTCAGAAATACGAAAAGATCAAAAGATTGACTTTGAATGACAATTTGACATACTCAGAAATTTTAGAGAGGTATGTTATCCTAGAGTATCCTGGAATTCATTATTATAAATCACTGGCGGCTTTGTTATTTGTAGTAGCTCAATCACAAGATTTCTAGTCTATTACCTCTCCGTCAATTACATGACATTTTTGACAACCTTGACACATCTCCACTATTGTCAACTTCGCAAACCGCACCAAACGCTTAATTGTGCCCGAGGAGCTGGACCAGACCGGTGTGACATAGCGACTACTCACATGTCGTCTTAGCTCACCTTTCTCGTCCAAAAAAAAGAAGATTTCTAGTCTCAAAACTTATAATTTGCTTAACGTGACATGTTTTAAAGTTACACCACTTTTAACCAGTAATATTATCATGCTTCAGGTATCCCAATATCCACCTATCAACAGTACAAGATATCAGAAACGAGATGTACATAAGAGATACCAACTTTTTGATAATATCCGACCTGAACGCTAACCAGTATGCCGTCTATGAATATTATCGCAGTGAGTGTTCATGATTATGTTAGAATACAAGATAACCCCTGTTATCAATTACTGTATCTGTTTTAAGTTATTATTAAGTTTTGTCTCATGAACTCAGATTAATACAACATTCAAATACTTCTTCAAACGTAGTGAACACAACCGCATTTTATAGCCTTCTTTTTTCAGGAGTTGGCAAGCGTGGGTTCACGTCCAGGCAACTTCAACAAGCATTTGCTTGCAAAGCTCCTGCAATCGTCTTTTACACAGAAATGCTCGAGAAAATGGGGGCTTCGAAGATACTTTTTAGTGTTAAAAGTTGTGGGAAACATGTGAGCAGGGAGCACTATTGGTTCCATCGCACGTGTGAGAGTGAGTTTAAATCTTCGTTCATATTGAAAATATTTGGTAATGACGTAGGGCCTTGGTAAACTTATTAATTGTCAGATGAGATGCTCATGTTTGGTGCGTGACTTTCTATTGATAGTTATACTATAGCTTCAATTGATTTTGTATAAATCAGTTTGGCAAATATAATATGCCGGTTGACTGCACGACACCTTTCCAATACGTTGGTCAATTTCAGATTCTATAAGATGCATCGAGAAAGTTATGAACGGTGTTATGAAGATAAACCGAAAAAAAGAGTTATCTCTAGAGGATCTAAGGCAATGTTTCGACGAGGCAATCTCTTCTGTGAATCTTGTAAGCTCTCGATTAAATAATTTAATAATTGTGCTATCTTGTGCTATCTTGCAATCAGACTATTTCATTAAACCAAAATTACCATGAAATACTTCAAAGTTATATTTCTGCTGATCATTAACTGATTAAGTGAACATTACGGTGCGATCATAGCTCTCTCTTACAGGTCGATCACGAAGAGGAAACTTTCGAACTCGTCAAGTATTTCCTAGTCAAAGTCGCTGCTCTCCAACTTACCGAAGGGCAAAAATACATCGCGAAAGGAGACGTTCTCATTACTGCTGAAAAGAAAGAAACAGAGTCGGAGAGTGAGCCGGAGCACGCTTTCTACGGCGACGCTATGATCACAGGTGAACCTATCGACTGTCAGATTCTTCATTTCATTGCAAGTAGTGGAGATGAAGGATGCACGAGCAATGATGTTGCTGCTCACTTTGGGATAGACCACCTTTTAGTTCGGTCTGTTGCCCGAATCTTAATGGGAGATGAGCGGGTCGAGAGGTCCAGTCGTGTTTCCAAGAAGACGAACCAATATGTTTACAAAATTAAAAACACTCCCAAAGATAATTCAGCCCAAGACTCAATAAAGGAAGAGTCAGAACACGAATTCTCCGATGATGTTTCTCATCTTTCTACAAACATGGAACGTCTAAAAGCCATCCACCGAGTTTTTCAAAAGCAAAAGGTTCTTACCAGACCGGAAATAAGGAAGTTTCTCCGTGATGAGCCGGTTGACCCGAATTTTGCTCAAATTGACGGCAAAACATTGAACCGGCTTCTTAAAACTCTGTGTGACAAAGGAAAGATATTACACTTAGTGCTCAAAGGAAGTGGAGCTAATGATAAAGTACTAGATATGTATTACCTAGTAGGGTGTAGTAAAGAGGAGCTGGACAAAAAAGTCGATATCATTAAGACTCGACTGGAAAGACCCCAATCTCACGAAGCAATGGAGGGAATCAGTCATGTTTACCTTCATGCCCATGCTTCAAAGCATTTTCCTGACCCAATACCTGAATCATTTGTGGGATTTGGAGACTACGTCTCTCCTGGAGTTTATCATGGCCCGAAGATGGTTTTTGCTCAACAATTTCATCTCATGCTATCTGTCCTTGTATACAGATGGCCAATAGTGGAGGTCCTTCCCCGCCAGCACTTAAATCTCAAAGATTGGTGGGAATATGTCTTGAAACTGGATCCTCTCGTTCCCAATGAAAATGGGGAGTTTGAAGTTGCTGATTTCATCAATTATTTTCCCATATATTTCCTTCAATATTTTAACAAGAAAATGACGTATGACTCCTTCCTTGAGTTGATGGAAAATAAGATCTATTCTAGACGTTGTATTGGTCAACTTCCAAAGCAGTTTCTAGTGAACTTGAGTGGCAACATCTCCCACGTTTGTTACAGCTTTGCTAAAACAATTGAACTATTAGAAGCTATGGACTTGGTGGAGATAAAGCAGAAATTTGATTACACCAAGAAGAGTCTAAGTGGGTTAAAGTTCTGTCTTAGGAAAAGGACGCTCTTACTCAACACTGCATACGCTCCTATAAACAAAGACACTTTTAAAGGGTACAACATCCGTCGTATTCATTTACCTCGACGAATACTAGCGTTCAACGTATCTGATGACAGTGGTTTCTTTGACTTTTGGGATAGAGCCGAAAACATTTGTCTTTCTGGAACATTTCATGAATCGGCTGCTTTTTGCCAAAACATTACTGATCCTGTTAAGTCGCTCCTTCAAGTATTCAAGGACTACGGAATACCTCTTGACCAGACTGAGCAATTTTACAATAGTCCTGGGACTGTTGAAAGATTGAACGCTGTTTACTCTGAATTGGGGCCTGGTGGATTTTTGATCAGATTGAGGACCAATAAACAAGATAACTGGTGTTCCTCAATAAAAACGTCAAGAAAGACATTTCGGCCTGAGCTAGCAATAATAAACGCCCTTAGAACACAGGACAATTTTAACGTCAGTAATCAGTCTACTGAAAGAGTAGATTCTGATTCAGATGATTATGTTATATACAAGCCAAGAGGAAAAGGGCATACTCGGTCATTGTCGAAGAAAAGACTGAAAAAAGAGCCGAAAAGGGAAGCAAAAGTCGAACCCAAGGTGCAATCCATAGAAAAAGAATCTAAAGCTAAATCAAAGGAACCGTCATTGTCAAATTCAAAGTTCATTCCGACCAGTATCAGGAAAAGAAAACTGAGTGTTCGTGATCATAGTGTCGCCAAACGGATCAGGAAAAAATACAGAGATGACATTGACCTTAAAATAAATTCCATTAAAACCTCGGAACGAGTGAAATTTACGGAAATGGAGGATGAAGTGATAATCACGTGGTCGGTATGCTTGAAACTATTTGCCCAGCCTCACTGCCCGTACGAATCAAGAAACCTCCTTCACAACTGCTGTCCAAAGGATGCAGCAGATAAAACGGAAGAAAGCACGAAGAAAAGACGAGCTCTGTTGCTCGATAGACCTGATGTTATGTCTCGCATGGTTGATCTTCAAGCAAAAGGAACTGCCTTTAAAGAAATGACCGAGCCAAGGATTGACAAAGCTATGGAGCTTTTTAAGCGACGTGAAGAGTGGGCCACTGATTTGTTTGTAGTTAGGTCAATTCTCCCGGCATCTTTCGCAGATTTTATCGACAGGCATGAAGTAAAGGAGTTTGGTGCTGTACCGGTAAATCATTTGACCGTTTTCCTGACTGAGGGATACAGAAACAAAAGAGTCCTAAATTTCAAAGAATGCAATGTCGCTTCCATATGGGAGAATACTGAGTTTTCTGATTACCACAAACAGATTTATAACATACTTTTGCTTGCCGTTGGGACACAGACACCAATGCACAATGAGGCAGCATTTAAAGTCATCAAATCAGTTAACGAAGCAGAGATGTCTAAGGTTTCCGACTACATGTACAAGCATCAAATCTTGAGACGTCAGAAAAGAAGAGTCACGAGTGATGGTAAACTAGCTGAGGCTCAGAGGGTAGCTGTAAACACGGAAGCTGTTCAATGTCTTTACAGTCCGTTTCCTGATGAACTCTTATCAAATCCACACGATAACCATGAAAATCCTCTGGAAATTCACTACAGTGAACTGAACTCCAAAGTTGTTCACAATATTTCTCATGCGCATTTCAGGGGGAATAGCAAGGTTATCATTTCTGGTGCTATCGACCCATTCATTGAAAACAAAAAGTTTGACGTTGTGCTTCACAATGTTGACGCAGAAGTTGCAGCGTTCGCTGAGATGCACACTAAACGAAACACCTTTTTTAGTGGCCTCTCCACTGTCGAAGAAGGAAAGTCATTAGGCTTCCAACTCTCAGAAAAGCACATTACAGGCAGGTTTAATTACAAAGTACACTCCCCCAACGAAGAGGATAAGGTTGAAGGGTATGAAGAGCTTCTAGGTATGAAGGAATCTTCCTGGCCACTTCCTTTGAAAATATTCATAGCTTCAACAGAGTCTTCCAAAAGCGAATTTAGCTGGAAGTCTGTTGATTTAGAGACTGGGAAATTATCCTCATCTAATGACAGCAGAGAGGTAACTCATTTTTCTCCGACTGAACTTAATAGTTACGAGCTGAATAAAGCATGTATTCAGAATATGAGCTTACCACAGAATACTGAAAAGGGTGAGCAATTCGCATACTTTTGTCGGAAAAACGATTTGTTAGAACTCACTATCCCTGGCCAATATCTGCTGGATCAGGTGTTTCAATCAAAACAAACTGGGATCATCGAAAAAGATCTCATTCTCAAACTGATATCTACGCACAAATCATCCGTAGAACAGGTTGTGGAAATAATCAACATCTGCACGAATCTAGAGCTAGTGATGCGTGTAGGGTTCGTGGAGTCTATTATCGTCAGTAAACATTACGGTGCCTCTTGGCTCATATCTGTACAATGTGGGTCCTCTAGTGAATCCAAACTTCCAAAAAAAGAAACCGAAGATAACGAAACCTCCCATAGAAGGATGGAATCAGATTTCTCTAAATACTTTCCCTTGACAGCAAAGCCTTGGCGGTCAATCAACTCTGACATCAATGTTCCTCTGCTCCGAGATTTGACAAAATCGATTGTTTTGTTTATCTATGCTTATCCTGGCATATCAAAAGAACTGATTGATAGAAGGTACCATACTTATTTGAGTCCAATAAATTCGAAGGAGCTGCTAGAAAGTCTGTTGTATTCTGAGGTAATCAAGAGGTGCTGGGACAAACCTCCTCCACCCGGTTTGTTTTCTTCTACCGCTCCACAGATCATGATGGAACAAGAGATAACCCTTTCTTCCTGTTTTAGTGTTACAGCTGATGGACTCGACAATTTTGTCGGTTTTGTACCGTCTGCGATGTGAAGTCGGATATTCACGCTTTGCAAATGATGCGAATAAGTTTGAAGTTTTATTTCATGTTTTATTTTCTTTGTTAATGACAGACTGTTCAATTTGAGTTATGGTTGAGAAGTTTAGCTTCTCGTGAGTATGATTGTGACCTGTGAAGTTAGCTTCACACAGCCAATAAATGCTTTTCCAAAGTAGTCAGTATTTTGATTATATTTAAATATATTTTATTTAACATATTATTCAATATCCATCACTGTCTATTTGTTATCTTTCTATATGTAAGTGTAATACGTCTGAAAAATAATTAATTTATCATTCAAATTTTTGTCTTACCGACTAAACTGTAGCTTATTTTCATTTACTGAATAACACAACATCCTTTAGATAGTGCCTTCCTTTGATATAAGCACAATAAGCACAATTAAAGGTCAGTTTGCTCCTGTTTACAAAACATAGAATATAAAATCTGTCATAGTGGAATCGCCAACAAGGTTATATATGATACGATACAAAAATACTTGATTTGGATGGAAGCTAAAACATCATCTTATAAGTGGGAGAGAACTTGTATACAATCTAGCATACCATAATCTTACCATTCTGTTTATCACGTGACAGTTAATTGCACGTTTTAACAATTCTTAGTCAGTTCTCCTCTAATGCTTATCACTAACAAGAACCACTGTCGAAGGCACTGCAAGGCAATGCTCAGTGCTATCAGCTCTATCTTCAACTTGATCACCGCAAGTAGGGATGACATCAATCGCATTATCATTATGAAACATCTCACTTGGCCCATCTAAAACATCTTCTATCGTATCAAGTCTGGGACTAGGTGTTCTAATGTCACTGATCAGAGAGTTAACATTGCTTGAAGTCCGTGAACCTGTTGAGGTCATGCTTCTTAAAACGACCCTATTTTTAGTTGGAGATTTCGGAACTCCGTTCTGTCTGGTGAGGGTGTTAGCGTTCTTAATAGCTCGAGTTAAAGACCAGGCTTTATTAGATTGTCCGTCTATCGTGAGTGATGATCCTTCCAGTACGTTAGACGGATGTTTTGACTTAGCTAGTGTTTGTTTGCCGTGGTTCCGCAAGGATCGGTTGGTCACTATGTAGACATAAGGGTTAACAGCCGTGTTGACCATAAATATCACGGTTGAAAACATCCTGAATCTAAGAGGTAGTTCAGATGTGGTTGCTAGCACGTAAAGACGCGCCACAATGAACGGCAGAGCAGAAAGCAGATATATTCCCACTACTAATAGTGTGGTTTTGATGGCTTGCCAAGATGTTCTCGAGTGTCCAAACTCGTTGCTTTTACACACAATCCGTATGATAAGAACATACACCAGGATGGTGCTCAACATGGGCACAAATACAAAGAGCATGGTCGATCCAGCAATGAAGAGTTGTATCTTCCTCTCCTCCGGGTAGAAGTCAGCTAAGCAGCGTAAAGCGTCCGGGTTGTAGGTAAACTTGCTGATGAGGATGTTTACCGTTGCTAGTAAGATTGATGCTAGAATACACACCAAGGCACTTACGTTTGTTCTCCGAACATTTAGTATCGTCCTGGGGAAATTCCATCTTAAAAATCGTAAGATAAGGTTTTAGGTTATGACACTGAACATATTAGTTAATTAATGAATCCACTCGATAAACTGCAAGGGTGTTACGACTTCGTAAAAAAGTTAAATAAGTAAATAAAGTTTTAAAATAAATGGAATAAAGTTTTACCTCAAAGGAAAGTATATTGTAAAGGATCGTTCCAGGCTCATCACTAAGATTATCAGGTTTTCTAGTGCTGCAAAAACTGTTTCAGTGTACCCAAATAATGTGCAGGGTAGGGACTCTGATGGTAGACCTGGGAGAGGTGGTTATTCATTAATCATTAATGATCTGCAATAATATAATACAAATAATTTTATAAATTAAAAGAAAAACTTGGTTTTAAAATCTATAGTTAACAATAGCTTTTGATTCTAACCAAATTTCTTCACTATCAGATTAGAATGCTTGCCACCTTAGAAAACTCGATCCGTGTGCGGCCGATAAGCAGCGAACTATCAATATTGGGAAATTGTGATGGCTCAGCCCGGGTGAAACAGGGTAACTCAAGTGTGTTGGTGGGGATCTGGGGACCAATAGAGGTGAAGCAGAGTAAAGAAGACCCGGAGAAGTGTGTGATTGAGACGACGGTAAAGGCAGCTACAGGACAGGGGTCGCCTCTTGATAAGATGTATGAGGAAGCCTTGAACCAGACTTGCGAACAGATTGTCATTACGTCTGCTCATCCTAGAACTTGTATTCAGGTAAGCTTTTACTCTTAACGTTTTCTTTTTATTCATATTAAAGTATCAAGACGTGACAAGTGCATTTAAAATTACAATCATAAGTGATTATAATAATATTTTAGTATGAACTTAAAAGCTCGTTAAAATCATTATTCCAGTGTATAATGAATTATTCCTAAATATTCATCGTATTAGGTGATTGTGCAGATAGAAAGTGAGGATGGTGCGATTGTTGCTGTGATGAAGAACGCGCTGTGTCTCGCCTTGATGGACGCTGGTATTCCCATGAGGAGTATGTTTGCTGGAGTTAGCTGTGTGCAGCAGGAAAACGGTGAGCTGCTGTGGGACCCGACTGCTGACGAAGAGGAGGAGTCTACTGCCAAGTACACTTTCGTTTACGAGAACAGCAAGAATAATGCCATATACGTGCACTGTACAGGAGAGAGCACCATCGAGCAGTATATGTTAGCTTTGCAAAAGAGCAGGCAGGTGGCCATGGAGGTGTTCGGGTTTTATAGGGAGTCGTTTGAGAAGTTGTTGAGGAAGGATGTTAAGTTTCAGATGCTGTTACCGCCTATTATCAAGGGTGAGATTATAGACGAGCCGGAATGAAAATGTTTGTGCGATTTTTTAATAATCAGATGATTTCTTGTTTGGGAGCAAAAGAGGTGAATCGGGTCTTCAGTGCTTTTCAAAGTTTGAAGGACTATTTTAATTTCTTTTATAAATCTGACTAAATTATTTATTTATTGTTATTATGTACCGATGGTATTTTGAGAATTTTACAGCAGGTTGCAATCTATGTAATTTATTCACTGTTTCATCTCAATTATTCCCCAGACCGTGTACCTAGACAGATTTACAAGTTCCCCTAAATCAGCATCTAATCTAAAACCAAACAAACAAATCGTATCTTTTTAAACTTACCACTCCATCCGAACGAAGTGAGAGTGGCAGGTAGAACCATGATAATAGTCAGGGCTAAGTCAGTTCCAAACATCCAGATAAGCAGCAGTCGTCCTGGCTTGTATTGGTGCTGAAGTAGTGATTTTAGGTTAGTGTCACGTGGTGTGGCGTCATGACACGAGATGTGACGTCAAGAAACGGAAAATAGTTTATCTAGATAACTCACTCTTAAAAGTTGACACGAGAATATTTTCACCACTGAGCGCTCATTTTCGACCTATGCGCGCCCACTAAGTCTTGTACTGAATAAAATATGAACTGAATATTAACTCACTGATGGTTTGAATCCTCTGATGACGTAAAGAATACCAGAGTTCCCCACAATTCCCATAAAAAAGAGTATCGTCAGTATAACCGCGATAAGATATTGCTCTCCTGTCGTCAGGTCGTAGAAATGCAGCTTTATGTCAGCTTCACTCGTGTCATTGCTGAGCTGGACCATAACTGGTACTTGCCTACTGTGATAAGCTTAATCGTGATAAGGTATTGAAGTAATTATATTATATGATTATTGATTGTAGGTATTTGTTCGGAGAGTTCAAGTACTGTACAGCGTAAAAAGTGTTCCGGTGTACAAATAAAACACAAGCACTTGCAAATTTTAAGTTAATGATATATAAAAATAAATCGATCATCGGCGTTAAATTGTTTAACATTTAAATTGTTTAACATTCATGATCGATTTATTTCGTGAAACTTAAATTTCGCAATTTATTAAAATGATGGTTAAGAATAATTAATATTCTTAATACGATTTACTGGGACTGATAGGGAGATGCAAATTTTGACATATTTAAACATTCGTAATTATAATAATATGTAAAGCTCAGATAAGAAGAAATTTCTAGTAAATCGAGAAATTTCTAGTAACCACGATGTATGGGGACTTGCCACCCCATGGCAACATTATAATAATATATCGACTCAGTTACATCGTTTCCTGTTAATATAAAACTCCGTTACAAATTGAACTGGGGTCTGGCAATACTACACCTTAGATCAATAAAATAAGATAGCGTAATGTATAACTAGACTAACTAAAAGTCTGATAGAATGTAGAAAACAAAATAGCTTACTGCTTGAAAGCTTAATAATAAACTGTGAAAGAGTGGTAAACGTAAATAAAACTGTTCCGATACAACCAAAGAAATAGCTCACGCAAAAGGTAACATGCATTAACATACAAGGACTTAAAAGAAGGCCTCACACACTCTAATTACATGAAGTTATTAACTGTGAAATTATGCCAGTTATGTATCTGAGGATACACACTGGCTGACTATTAATAAATAATTTAAGATATCTATGTAAGATCTTCCGTTCAAAATTATGGGTAATCAGTTCATCAGTTATTAATTTAACATCATGATTAAATTCTACTGACTACTGAGGAGGATTTGCGTATACTATATACAGTTCACCTACAAATATATGTAACTTTACCCAATCCTTGATATTAAGATTTCACTCTAAATTTATTTTTAGGATTCTTCAAATTAAACGTTTGGAGAAGATGAATATTGGACGAAGCAAGAAAAACTGAAGACCATCTAAAGTCTATCAGCAGGGCGCTGCAAAAATCATGTACTTTCAGATAATATGTCGGGTAAGAGGCTACTGAAATCACACGGTGCTTCAAACAATTCAGCATTATTACTATTTACTTTGTGCTTGGTACAATACAAGGAGTTTTACTAAAATAATCTTCACAACATCACGCTCAAATAAAAAACAAACAGCTTAAAATAAATATTTGAAACGTTTGGTACCATACCAAACGAAACTGTGGTAAAATATCAGACGACTAACTGACTGAAGTTATTTTTCAGATTGCTAAAAGAAGATGTCCGCTCAGTTTAAACTTCAGCCCTATCAAGCTGTGTTCCCGCACTCTGTACGGAGATAAAGTGAACACAGATTGGAGAAACCTGATTTACTATCTAGATACTGACAATGAGATAGAACTGAAGGTTGTGACTGAAACTATCTCTAAGAAAGTGCTGGGAAACCCTCTGGAGAAGTACTATGTCGTGGATAACCAGGTTAGAAGGTATAATATACGTATATTAAATAATATCAGTTGTATACTAGCACCCGGAAAAAAACGTAGCTACCAAATATTTAGCATGATACCAATAATTCATGTGCAGAAATCATAATTTGTATTTGAGATGAATAAAACACATTACAACCAATTACAGACAAATCAAAATTTGTCTGATTTTGTATCCTAAATCAGACAAAATTAGAAAAACTTTGAATCATGAATCATGAATCAGTAATACGACTCGTACATTTTAACAAAACGACAGAACGAAACTCCCAGAATCAATCCTGACATGCACTTAAGAAACTACTTCCCTCCAAGCTCAAGATAAACAAAGACTGACTGACTGAGGAATACTGCTGAACAATTCGTGCATGTCATGTGAAAAGAGAAAATGGCCGAGATCTAATGAGCCCAGTCTCTAATGCTCTAAGAACAATTACATAAGTCCAAACAAACGCAATTTATACGTCATGATGATTTGCTTCAAACAGTATTGAAAAAATCAGCAAAACATCGGTTAATAGATGTGGATACTGGTGGGGAGGTGAAACACATTTGTTTACTTTAATAGTAAGCACATGTTCAGCGGGTTGAGGAGGTGAAACACATTTGTTTACATTTTTAGGGTAAGCACATGTTCAGCGGGTTGAAGAGATGATACACATTTTGTATTATAGAAGGCTTGTAACACTTGTAACGCTTTCTTGTTACCCCCCTTTGAAGGCCCCGAATTATTTTCTGAACGAAAGCTCAAAAATAACCGAGAAATCGACCTTCTTATTAACTCATTTTGATGAATGTTTCTGACCTAAAATTGCACGAAAAATCGATTTAGCTAGGTTTCAGAACGTATAAACACTTCCTTATCCCTCAAAATTGATGTTTTATAGTTGATACGAGCAACAAGCAACATATGTTTTGATCCTTAACCTAGGCAGTTAAGCTGAACCCGACAGATCGAGGCAATCCTCACCTCAACTGATCAAACTGGTACTAACACAATTTTCAGATATAAATGTTCTTTGCGATACGTTTATTGCAGCTTTGCAACTTGAGTGAAGACCAGAGTACGAAAACACACAGCAGGTAAGCAACTCACTTTTGGTGACTGTTCCTCACGAACATTCTGATCCTGTAACAATTTAGTATACGGTAGCTTAGAAGTGAAACCCACTTATTGTAGTACCAACTATGGTCATACGAGACTAAGGAATAATATACATAAATAAGTTACATAATAAATTACCATATATAACAAACATATGAACAGGGAGATCGTCTCCTTAACAAATCGAACAGGTACTATCACAATTTCCAGAGCAGGTACTATCACAATTTCCAGAGCGTAATTTTCACAATTTCCAGAGCATAACAATTAAAGTCAAAAGAAACACAACGAAGGTAGGTTACCAACACCACAATTTATAACAATTATACTAACAACTGAATTAAATTTATTCTGAGGACGGGCAGCCCTGATGTGCTCCGTCATCCTCAACGAGCGACCACTTGTAATAGAGGTGTTATGTCATGTGACACCGATCCGTCCAATCACAAACAGGACGAGTCAGCAGATCGATATCGTGTGTTTACTTTCCTTATCTTTATTTGACCCTCTGTTCACATTGTTATCTCTACCACATCTCGGCTCGGCAAGGTCCGCGTGCAATATCTGCACCGCGGTAAACACGCCATGATTACGTCATGAACTTGAAATAGTGTGATTGTTGTACTTATATAACCGTGCCCATTGCCCACGTACAATACAAACTGTTGTATCATTTGGATCTCACTCAGTTCACAATCGCGACCTCATATTAGAGTAAATGTTTTTAATAATACGCAATTGGACAACTAAACCGAAACATGTTATAACTAAACAATGTTAATGTTCAGTTCCTGATTGAACAGTTAGCATCACAGTCAGTTATTAAACCCCCCCCCCCCCCCCCCCCAACAGTTTGTATTGTACGTGGGCAATGGGCACGGTTATATAAGTACAACAATCACACTATTTCAAGTTCATGACGTAATCATGGCGTGTTTACCGCGGTGCAGATATTGCACGCGGACCTTGCCGAGCCGAGATGTGGTAGAGATAACAATGTGAACAGAGGGTCAAATAAAGATAAGGAAAGTAAACACACAATATCGATCTGCTGACTCGTCCTGTTTGTGATTGGACGGATCGGTGTCACATGACATAACACCTCTATTACAAGTGGTCGCTCGTTGAGGATGACGGAGCACATCAGGGCTGCCCGTCGTCAGAATAAATTTAATTCAGTTGTTAGTATAATTCTTATATTGTGGTGTTGGTAACCTACCTTCGTTGTGTTTCTTTTGACTTTGTTATCATGCTGTGCTCTGGAAATTGTGATAGTACCTGTCCGATTTGTTAAGGAGACGATCTCCCTAGCTGTTCATATGTTGCAGGATCAGAATTTTCGTGAGGAACAGTCACCAAAAGCTTAGATGGCAAGTACGTACGGTACAGGGCTTTAAGTACGTACGGTACAGCTACTTTTAAAGGTACGTACCGTACAGGCACTGTAAGGTACAATTGTTTTCAAATTTTTAGAATCAACTTCAGTGAATTACTTGCAATTTTTGATTAGTATTATCATCATAATTTTTGAGATAGAACTAGAAGTCGAAAATAAACACACAAATTAACCGGTACTACACTACTACTACTTGTAATTATCGTTAAACTCAAAGCTTCATCCTTTTGTTGCAGTATACGAACATCAGCTTTTCAGCTAGCTCAGGTCGCAACCTTAATCTACGCTTGTCCATTGCTATCAACTGGATTTGTACCTTTCAGCCTACTTTATTAAGTACGTACCGTTCAGCTAATTTAAACGTACGTACCGTACGTACTTGCCATCTTAGACCAAAAGTGAGTTGCTTACCTGCTGTGTGTTTTCGTACTCTGGTCTTCACTCAAGTTACAAAGCTGCAATAAACGTATCGCAAAGAACATTTATATCTGAAAATTGTGTTAGTACCAGTTTGATCAGTAAAGGTGAGGATTGCCTCGATCTGTCGGGTTCAGCTTATAACTGCCTAGGTCATGAGTAGAACCGAAGGATCAAAACATATGTTGCTTGTTGCTCGTATCAACTATAAAACATCAATTTTGAGGGATAAGGAAGTGTTTATAGGTTCTGAAACCTAGCTAAATCGATTTTTCGTGCAATTTTAGGTTAGAAACAGTCATCAAAATGAGTTAATAAGAAGGTCGATTTCTCGGTTATTTTTGAGCTTTCGTTCAGAAAATAATTCGGGGCCTTCAAAGGGGGGTAACAAGAAAGCGTTACAAGTGTTACAAGCCTTCTATAATACAAAATGTGTATCATCTCTTCATCCCGCTGAACATGTGCTTACCCTACAAATGTAAACAAATGTGTTTCACCTCCTCAACCCGCTGAACATGTGCTTACTATTAAAGTAAACAAATGTGTTTCACCTCCCCACCAGTATCCACATCTATAATACGCTTTAAAACTTTCGAGTGACTTTAAATTGACGACTGAATAACACCCTGACTTCGTGTGATACCACACCGTTATACAATCTACATTGAGGGGTAACCTCATTAAATATAGTTATAATCTATGACTAACGGTAGGAACTAACTACCTCTAAAACGTACACACAAATGGCAAATCCGAACAATAACCATTACATCCTTCGTAAGTCGTAACACTATAAAAAAAAACCATTAAAAAACAATTGGAGAGCTATTTCAATATTGGATTGCCATGGGTGTAGGTCGTAGGTCGTAGGAAGTTGTTGGGACTAGGGGGACATACTTTGAAACTTCATAGCTCTATGCGTGTGGAATGAATTCTAATCCCCCTTCCCCTGTTCCTTCACCCATCTATATTAGCTTACCCAGTTTTTGGCCTCACCAATGCAGGAATTGCAGTCGAGGACAGAATATACACAAATTTGGTTATTATAGAAACTGAAACAGCTCACCTAGATGGTAATGGCAGAAGCTTTTAAAGGATATTGAACACTAATGAACATACAAACATATGTAGACAGCGCACAGCCCGAGCAATCTTGACACATTAATCAGAAATATCATATCTCCCGCAAGCGCCAGCTGAATTCCGTATGATATCAGATCAGGTTTAGAGTTGGAGACACATAAATATAGAATTTAAGTTCCTGATCTAGACTACTAAGTTCTGTAAAATCTACAATAAACAACCAAATTATGATAGAGCTGCAAAAACCAAGTAGGTGCCACCAAAATTTCCTACATCGATGTACTTGTTACCACATCAATATTAAATGTCTACCCGCTACCTAATTCAGCTAATTATAATTAATTAGTTAATTATAAATGCAGTTACCACCGGATAACAACAACAAGTTTAATCCCATTTAGGCGATGCTGGGTAAAATAAACAACCTGACAACACACCGAGACCCGCACGTCAGGTTCAACGCCCGACAAATCCTACACTGTGTAGGAGTAGTTCCTAAACAGAGACGTGGCATCAGGATACTCAGTATTGATGGTGGGGGTACTCGAGGCATTATATCTATCAGGTGAGTTACTATTAGGCGTACAGCTATTGTAGGGATCTAGATTTTACTAATTTGAATTTTATTACTATTACGAAAATTCTAATCAAAGCTGAAAGACGAAGATAAAAGAGTACGTTCGTGAAGCTTTGTTATGGCTGAGTTTACTAATGGCTTTTGTATAACTTTTTTTAGAACCTGCAGCAAAAAAGGAAACAAGGAGTTGTCATAAATGGGAACGTGGTGTCATTCTGTTAGCGACCGATAATGATGATATACCATCTCATCACCTCTGTTCCTTGATATGACTAGAACAGACTTATTAATTATTATTCTCACGCGGAACGCACATATACCAATTATCAACAGTAAAAGTAACACCACCAAGAGCTGTATCTGTTAAACTAATCCAATCATTATCAAACACTACCCACCTATACTAAGATATCAGCGTTCAGGAGTTTGATGAGGCTTTGACCACTCTAATAGAAGTTTGGTTAGATAGGCCTCTCTAAACCACAGAGATAATTATTGAGACTACACAACGCTGAAAGATAGCGGGTGCAGTGGCTGAGCTATTATTTAACGAAAATGGTACTCTGCCCGAAATATTATCAACTTCAAGTCATTCGCATCGTCAATTAGGCCATTATAGATCACTGGTTTATGATAAGCAATCAGCCTCCAAATGACCGCTAATACAACGGGCGGGATCCCACTTCTGCCCAATTGTTGGATTCGTCCTCATTTTGTCATTAAATCTATTTTATAAGCTAGGCAGGTCACGTAATGTTGTAAGATAAAACAAGGATAGCCTTCATTTGGGGCAAAAATCCATATCGGTTTTAGATTCCGGTTTTAAACACTGACAATCCCCGGTTGGATGGTCATGAATCCCTTAATTTACAAAATTGGTCGAAACTTGAATTAAAGTAAAATAATGATAATGAATAATTTGATCAACCGTTGCCGGGAGCCGATTTCCTGTCATAAAATAAATTCTAACATTTATTACACGCTTCGACATTAAAATAATATGCCCATCAAAGATGTACATTTAAGTCATTCAAGCGAGACTTAGTGATGAAATATCAAGATTATGGACTTTTTTATCAGTTCAGATTTTATGGACAAATATTTGTATTTCAGCCACAGCCCTTTTTTTACAGCTTTGACTACAATATAGCATAGGCGGGCACAACCCCAAATCCGTATGCACTCGAAGTTTCAAAATTCTTACGACTCGATTTGGCGTCCGACTAAATTGGTCCTCACCGGGAATCGAACACCAGTTAAGAAATCGAGTGTTAGTCACGAACCTATATATAGGGATTCAAAGTCTGGCATTTATCATGAAAACACAAAAGTTTTGATCGGAGTATGTTCATTAATGGGCCAATTAGCTTGTGTGATATTGAACAGGAACATTGACAAACATTGCAGCAGTTGAAACGCAAGCTTCCGGTCAAAACGAGACAAGCTTGTTAACGTGCAACGGTAAACCTGTAATAAAGTTAGAAGTTAGCTGAATTTACAGCAGTGTTCAGTCTATGTCAGTTTGCATTTTATGTCAAAAATTTAAGCGCTAACTTCGTATAAGGAAGAAACATGCACCATTTTAAAAGATTTCTTAATTAATTAGGCATATTACTCTAATCTCCGAATGAAATAGAACATGTGTGAATATAGAATCTATCACAATTGGTCATCATAGCAACGGCTTGTGTACTAGGCTGCGGGAGCCACAAAACAGAATGGAAGTACCAGTATTAGTTTGGTGAGGGAAAATCACTTAATTGATTTCCCCATTGGTCTCAACTTCTCAATTGTTAAAATGTTCAAGGACGATTACAGCCGTGAGAAATTCTCACGAGACTCCTTGTCGCTTCTAGACTAATATAATACTATCAAGCGGAACTGAGGAGTGAGGGGCTACACGGTGATTATCTCGGTTCTGTCGGTAATACAGAGAGATCTCTTTTGAATAATGAATATTGAACCTGGAGGGGGTTGTTTAAAACATATAAGTGATACGAAATGTTTATTAAGCAGGAGCTTTCAAAATACACGAGTAAATTGTCTTGAGCTGAATATTGAAGTAGCGAGGTGTTAATATTTCACCCCCCCCCCCCCCCCCTCCAGATAGTCATAATTAGTCGTTTAAGCGCTGTATAAATCGAAATCTATCAGATTGAAAGGTACTAGAACTAGTTAAGGGGGCCGGGGGGGGGTCTTCATCAAAATTATCTCGAAATTGACTTTATAGTTGTTTCTGGTAGAAGGGAGTGATATCTACCAGTTGCTTTTGGTCCCATGGAAAAATATTGTTCCTAGCCGAAATTATCGCCGGTCTAAGGTCAGCGCTTATGTGTAATTGTATTGCGCGAGCGATTTTCAATCGCAAATTCTGAAAATCGAGTCTAAAAATCTATCTTCTCCTACATTTTATGAGCAATCACCCTGAAACTTTCAGGATATGTTCTAAGGACCATTTAGAAGAGATCGTTCAAGCCAAAATTTTGAAATAGGCCTTTAAAAAATTTTTAATAATTTTTGAAAATCTCGGACCTGAAAAAATCGTAAAAAAACGAGGTCCAAGATTTTCAAAATTGAATAAAAAATTTTTAAAGGCCTATCTCAAAATTTTGGCTTGAACGATCTCTTCTAAATGGTCCTTAGAACATATCCTGAAAGTTTCAGGGTAATTGCTCAAAAAATGAAAGAGAAGATAGATTTTTAGACTCGATTTTCAGAATTTGCGATTGAAAATCGCTCGCGCAATACAATTACTCATAAGCCCTGACCTTAGACCGGCGATAATTTCGGCTAGGAACAATATTTTTCCATGGAACCAAAAGCAGCTGGTAGATATTACTCCCTTCTACCAGAAACAACTATAAAGTCAATTTCGAGAGAATTTTGATGAAGACCCCCCCCCCGGCCCCCTTAAGTACGTTATCTGCAATTAAGTCTGAAATAAAGTAGCATTGCTCTACATTATTGTGCCGCATAAAAACGCAGACTATGCGAGCCAGCAACTTTTCTCTTTTTATTGCAAAATAATGGAGAAATGGCAAATAAATGGTGCTGCGAGTGTGAAGCTAGATAGACTAAAACACAGACTACAGAATGCACATACCGGACTTGTAGTGTGTAGGGAGCATCACGGTTAAAGTGAAACAATGTAAAAAGAAACAAGGCAAAGGATTGGTGTTCCTACTAAAAACTACAGTGTTAACTTATGAAATCTAGATTTAAAGACTAGAACCCTCGTATTAGGTACAAAACAACGCACTGTAATTCTATCACACAATTTACAATAACCTGCATGAATTATGTGATTCATAGCCGGATAACATTTGAAATCAAATGATATGTATCGGAAATAAAATCGAAGGTGCGTAATTCGTAAAAGTTTCTACACTGTACATAATACGAAATATGCCATTTACTGATAAAAAGGGTTACGACGCTCGAGGGAGAAGTTTAGTTGTGTGTAAGTGTAGTTGTGAGTGTAGTTGTAAGTGTAGATGCTCGAGGGAGAAGTGTAGTTGTGAGTAAGTGTAGTTGTGAGTGTAGTTGTAAGTGTAGATGCTCGAGGGAGAAGTTTAGCTGTGAGTAAGTGTAGTTGTGAGTGTAGTTGTAAGTGTAGATGCTCGAGGGAGAAGTTTAGCTGTGAGTAAGTGTAGTTGTGAGTGTAGTTGTAAGTGTAGATGCTCGAGGGAGAAGTTTAGCTGTGAGTAAGTGTAGTTGTGAGTGTAGTTGTAAGTGTAGATGCTCGAGGGAGAAGTTTAGCTGTGAGTAAGTTTAGCTGTGAGTAACTTTGATTAAAAAGGTAAGAATAGGCTACTTATTATCTTTTTCGTTCGTGGAAAGGTAAAAACAACGGTAAAGTAATTACCCGGCTGTTTCGGAGCCTTTACTGTAATTACACACAACAATATGTGTAAACCCTAAGTACATGTTTTGCCTTTTGTTGACTTAACAGTACTTGTCAATTGTTAAAACTTACTATTTCCTCTGGTCAGGTGTTACCACTAACCACAAGCTAGAATGTTACCATTTAGTGTTCAACATAATTTCAGATTATAATAGTCCTATAATTGGGGTAGTTACCAAACTTATCTCCTTAGAAGTAAACGTTAGCCGTATCACGAAGGTCTACATAATGGCAGAGTGGTAAGATAATAGTTCAGATAATAGTTTAGTATCATGTTATGTTATCTGGGAGGATAAAAGTAATAATACTCGTCCTTGTGACGCCCAACATCTCAAGCCATATTAAACCAACATGATATTATGTCAATAAACTTTAATTATCATAATATATAACAATAGCTTATGATGGTTGTCCCATTTAGTTGATTGGGGCGTTATCGTTACAATACTATCACTGTTTATGCTAGTTATATTCAGTGAATATTTAATGCAATACAGTAACTTTTATTTTTGCTTTACTTAGATATTTAATTCGGTATATTTAAAAACAGCCTAATGTTATTTTTCTTCTCCCGAGTCATTATAAAATAATTTATTTTTATTGGGTGGAATAAATTTACAAATGATTATGACTACGGGTTGATGACTCATTTAAACAATAAGGGATGGAAATCCATCTACAATTTATTACTTAGTAAGTAAGTAATGAAGTAAAAATATTCTTCAATCTATCTAAGTACGATAGGTTCACGAATATTCCTAGAAAACAAACGCCAAGCAAGCACGCACGGGGTCACTTGAAATAGGAATGAAAATTGGTACTTATGATAATATGGAATGTTGAAATGAATGTAGCATGGAATGGAACATGGAATGTTAAAATTCACGCCTCAATAAGAGTGGAATGTTTGCTGGATTAGTTGATGATGGGAAAAGGTCTAATAAACCTATAAAATAATAGGTTATAATAATAAAAGGCCATTAGGCCACTAGGTACTTGATAAAATAGGATTTATACGAATACGTTAACCTATTTCTGAACGTTTTCTGAAAAAGTTTGCCTCGTGAGATGTGAAGTGTGCACCACGTACACATTCTGAACAACAAATATTTGTTTATCAGTGAGGAGGTGAAGCACATTTTTGGCACGTGATTTTTAACAGGGTCTTATTTCTTGGCAATTTTTCAATGCAGAAAAAAAACTGCCAAAAGGAAGAATAAAACCTTAATTTTTAACAAATACTTGCAAGCAAATTACAAGCAAATTACAAGCAAATCACACGCAAATTACAAGCAAATTACAAGCAAACCCAAACTAATCAGGTAAAAACAAGTATTACAACCGTAACCCCGCAGTGCATTGCAGCGTACTGAAGAAGCTCGAAGCACTGACCAGCAAGCGAGTACACCAGCTGTTTGACCTGTGTATCGGAACAAGTACCGGCGCCCTACTTATAGCGCTTCTCATCGCTCAGAGGAAACCTTTAGACGAAGTGCTCGAGATCTATCTCGAGCTTAGCAAGGAGGTTTGTAATATATTAACATAATATTATATTACATATTGATAATATCCCGTATTATCAGGGAGGATAATATCCCGTAATATTATCAATGGGGAGACAAGAAGTGACAGTTGGGACGGTCCTTCTGACACGTGACCAATTCATGAATACGATGTTGTTGTATTGAAACGTAGACAATTTCCTTATCCTGATTAGAGCCTTTTCCTTCTCGCAACAAACGGGAACACTGCAAATAATGTTCCGATCCGGATATTACAATTTTAATAATATATACATACAGCCATTTTGAGTCCCATTAGAATTTTACAACTACCAATTCAAATCCAGTACCTCAAACTGTCCGAAACTTGAGCCGATAATAAATAATTTGATAAAAATCCGAAATATGTCTTCCTGATTGCGAGAAATTTAATGATGATCTTGGGAAGCAATGGTCGGATACCGTTCAAATTTCACCGCAGAATGTCTTTTGGCAAGGTACAAAGATATTTAAAGTTTTTAAAGAAATACCTAGCTCAATTGGTTTGGCTTTAATCAGAACAAACCTCTCAAATGACGTTTCTTCAAGTTCATCAATAAGATGGTAATAGTTAATAGGTAACTTTTCTTTTTTTTTTTTATCAATAAACTTTCAAATTGTTACACAAATACATCATTTTATTTCAAAGAAAATATCGCCGAATGACCTTACATGCCTTGACAAGTGACCGAGTGTAAACAAAATAAGGGACACCGAAACACCAGTTGACCAGTAAACTGATCATAGCAATTACATCGGGCCCTAAATGCACCTATAAGTGAAGCGATGCTGCAACCAAGGCATGCTAGGTTTATTCCATTGAACTAATAAGGTTACAGCCTAAAATATAAATATAATAAATAACAATGTACCATAAATCATAATTATAAACACACTTTATTTAACATATTTTATTAATTATACTTCATATCAATTTATATTTAGACAATATAGTTACATTAAGGTAAATTGTTTAACTGTCAGAGGATGTTATATGGTCGTTTAGAACTGTCCAGAGGTACTTAATTAAATGGGTTTTAAACACGGATGGCCTTGAGATTTCCCTTAATTCATAAGGGAGTTTATTCCAAAGAATGTGTGCTCTGTAAAAGTAAGACTTAGATATGCCTGAACATCTGGTCTGGCTTGACGTAAGGTTTTGTGGAACTTGAGGAGAAATGTCACTAATCATACTGAGATCGTCTAGATGTGATCGCCTTAACCTACTTCCCATGAAACGTCGTAAGTAAGGGGGAAATGTCACAACCGTAGTAAATATGGTAAACTGAAACTAGCCTTTCTCTCAGTCCTAATGCTCGATCTAAATGGAAACATAACACCTTACAACTGAGATAATCAATAGGGCCTATAAAGTTGGGCAGCACCAAAGTTGTGCAGCACCAACAATACACATTCAGGAAGACCACAAAATATGGTTCCAAGGACCAAACCCTGTTATAATAATACAGTTAATTAACAGTGGAAACAAGTGCAAAATTAATTGTCTTCACTAAAATTTGATTAAGATTGTATGGTTGATCGCAGGTAGATTGCTCCGAATTAATGCCTTATAATAATAGAGTGAAGTGCAGTAATCTCTCATGCAGTGGTAGTAGTTGTAGTGGTAGTCTAGTCTATTGCAATTGGGTGGAGCCAGTCTAATGCGCTGGGTGTTAGGAATCAGAAGTCAATCAACTGTTCGGTGGGAGACAGTGCACTGTTGCTAGGAAACTGATGGTGGGAGACAGTGCACTGTTGCTAGGAAACGTCATGCTTTTTTGTCTGAATATAATCTGTCGAAGTGGAGCTGCGTGACCAAATTGATAAGTTACTATCTGACGTTTGATTAAACGTTCAGGTCACAACTTTACTGTCATGTCACGCCCAACACAACTACAGAGGAATAAAAAGAAAATGAACAATATGAGCGAAGTTTAGTGCCTGAATATGTCACCTGTTAAACTAACACAGTAACAGTAACAGTTGAGGTTATTACTAATTACTTATAAAGCTGTGAACTAGTACTTCTCATCAAAACAGTGGTTTAGTAAGCTGGTAAATGATTGAAGTAAATAAAACTGTTTAACTGCAGCTCAATTATAACTTTATAATATGATAAATACGGTTAAGTTCAACTGGGCATGACGAATATTATAGTATTATTATAGGCTAAACGATCCTCAGCAATATGTTCCGCCTATCTATCAGTAATGATACCAAATCATGATAATACTTTGTCATAAAAACTGTCCTGGTATTGAGTTTCAAGACAGGATTCCTGGAACATACCGTGCCCAGGATTCCTATTATATTTTACTGAACTTGACTACAGCTGCTGGCGAAGGAATGAAGCAAGTTTTCTTCCAAAATGAAAGGATATTCCCCAAGTTGTAGAGTAAGATGGGAGTAAGTTTGCATTTTGTACCTATCAGTAGTCAAGTTCATTATCATGTCTACCTTTTTGGTTCATTAACTAATGAAGACTTAACCCGAGAAACAACGTTCTGCAGATCCTCCCCCATAAAAAGTGTTACCTTCTAGCGTTAACTAAAAACATGTAGTCGCCGCGCATTGTGATCCAGAATGTGTATTATGCATACCACTAGCTCCAGCCTTATAAACAGGAATAATAATAAAGAACAATGTTCTGTCGAGCAGCAATAACAACATATTCAGTGTTCCAGGGGAATATTTGCTTATCATTGCTCCTCAATATAATATAATCTCTGAGGTTCCATTGTTGTTCCTAAAAATGACCTTTGTGTTTCGTATTCAAAAGTTTCAGATATGTTCCTTGAGGTCACTAGTCAGTTGTTGTGGACATGACGTGTAAAATTAGTTTCCATCTTTTCATCCCGATAACCCCGTGAAATGAACAAATTAATCCCATATGAACTCGATACAACTTCTCACAATAATCAATCAGTTTCCAATAGATGAATCTGCAGAAACTTATTGGTACATGTTAATATAGGCTGCGTGGCCGATATTATTGCTCCAACTTGACATAATGACGGATAGGATCGGTTTGATTCGTCACAGACTAGACTACCTACGTTACAACACTTCGCCTAGAATATAGATAGCATCATTGTTGACTTAGATCATGTTTTTTTGCTAAGGTTATAACGCTATCACACGTAGAAACGCATGTCTCGTTGAAAGCAATGACTCCGGATCCTAGCACTCCCTAAAAAGGAGTATTAGACCGATGAATGAGCATAATATGATAATCTCTCTTAGGAGGGATGCTGCCCAACAGACCTTGTCCTCTGCACTGGTAAGTCCTGAACTATCTCAGATAGTAAGGTGACCTACAGTCTACATCTGGGTCCTACACAGGCGGGACCCCATTAGACGTCTTTGGCGTAGCCTCGATGTAGATAGAGTGCTCACCTTTCAAAAGTGGGTACGCTCGGTAGAAAATTCAGGATCCGCTCGAGCGAGCTGGTGAAAAATTTTGGCCAGAAGTACCGTGAAGAAAAATCTTTTGAAAGGTAAGGTAGAGTGGGTGCCACAACAAAAAACCGTGAGCCGTAGAAGCAAGTTAGATGTGTCCAGATAAAATGAATTGTATTTTGCAGGTGTTTGGCGGAAGATCAGTGTTAGCAATGGGACGGTTTGTTTGGACTCAACACCGTTACAGTACTGATATATGGGAGGTACGGGTCTCTTATTGTAAACTTTCTTGTGGTGGTATACTGGACTCTCGTATTTGATATTTGATACTGACATTGCGGCTGTGCTACTCATGAACTATATAACTATGAAATCTCATAATCATAGTAGTTTCATCTGTATATCATTATAGAAGTTGGAGGGTTTAATTTCTTGACAACACGTAGTGACACTGTATGGTGTTATTAGTCTTATCACAAAGACTGACAACAAACTTCATTTCTGCTTCATACGATAAGGAATCAAGAGTGTTCTGGCATGAAGTACTGCGGAGTAAATTAACAGTATTCTGTCAGGAAGTTTTGCGGAGCACGTGCAAGGAGTGGAGGATGGCAGATCTCAGCTGTTGGGATGAGACTCCTCTTATCGCATTTGTTAGCTCTGTTGTTAATCACGAGGTCGTTCATCCGTACGTGTTCAGGTGAGATTATAGAGATTATTCAATGATGAGGTAGGATGAGCTGGTATTGTAGTCATTGTTCATTTTATTAACAGTGTGAAGTGTAAATTGTGAGTGAGACAACTAGTGAACCATGATATATATTAACAGGAAACGATGTTGCCATGGGGTGGCAAGTCCCCATACATCGTAGTCCGGTAGTTTCATTGCGTCTTAATATATACACCGTTAATCAGTTTTACTCGGTTTTTAGATAAGATAAGACGTCTTGCTTCCACCAAGCAAATATTTCTAATTCATGTTGGTAAGATTTTGCTTTAAACTTTAATCGAATAACTGTGGAAAATATTTCTTCCTTGGTTGATAAATGGTGACTCTGATAAGGAATGTAACTTTTCAAGCTGATTTGGACAAAAAATGATAACCGACTCTTGATAGCGAATAACTTGGATATTTGACAAGCATTACAGAAAGATAGAACCATGAAAGCGCATAATATGATATAATGACACATACATAATATCATTATGTCTGGATGCCTATTGCCTAGATAAATGAATAAGTGAAGTAACATGAACCTTTTCATACAAAGTGCCCTTTACCAACCCATATGAAGTAATTACTTCTAAAAATAGAATGGTACCTACACTTACGTGCAGTTCTTAAAACCAACCCCCTGTGTTCAGGTCCTACGATCTGCCGTACCTTTCGAACAGGAAGGAAGTTTACCGAGGAGGGTACGCGCATTACATGTGGGAAGGACTCCGCGCGAGCACTGCTGCGCCCAGCTACTTCCGAGAAGTAGCGATAGGTGGGGACGTACATATTGACGGGGCGCTTCTCTACAACAATCCTACAGGTGGGTTCTTAGTGCTAGGTGGGGCGCTTCTCTACAACAATCCTACAGGTGGGTACTTAGTGCTAGGTGGGGCGCTTCTCTACAACAATCCTACAGGTGGGTTCTTAGTGCTAGGTGGGGCGCTTCTCTACAACAATCCTACAGGTGGGTACTTAGTGCTAGGTGGGGCGCTTTTCTACAACAATCCTACATGTGGGTACTTAGTGCTAGGTGGGGCGCTTCTCTATATAAAAATCCTACAGGTGGGTACTTAGTGCTAGGTGGGGGCGCTTTTCTACAACAATCCTACAGGTGGGTACTTGCTGTCCAGTGCTAGGTGGGGCGCTTCTCTATATAAAAATCCTACAGGTGGGTACTTAGTGCTAGGTGGGGCGCTTTTCTACAACAATCCTACAGGTGGGTACTAAGTGCTAGGTGGGGCGCTTTTCTACAATAATCCTACAGGTAGGTACTTAGTGCTAGGTGAGGCACTGTGAAGACCTACGAATTAATAAAACTTCTAAAATTTTATGATTCAAAATACAAAGAAAGAGGTTTCTCGTAAGCTTGATGAGGAGAACGATACTCGGGAAATAGCTCAATTGACACTCATCAAACGAATGTGAAACGCTGAAGGAGTGAAATATACGTACATCAATCTCATATTGTCTGTACATTTTGGGTTTCGACGTCGCTTCATGATGCGTCGCTCAAAAGGATGAGGCACTGAATTGACTTATTAGAGTAAAATGCGGTTTCTTTGAAGTTACTGCTATACTGGATTGTGTGACAACTTCAGGAGAAAACTTGTAGCATATTTACAAAAACTTTATAGGGAACCATAAAATACTGGGCCAGTCAAAAACCGTCGAATGATTTAACGAATTTAAAAAGTTTAACGAACTTAAAGTGAATGTTTCAACAATGTCTGTTACCTGCTATTGTAAAACCTTAACTTGTTACTACCAATTGCTCATATTAGTGTAGTATAAGACAATTTCCTCAACAAATACAATGAAACTGAAGCAGCAATTCATCACCAGCTAACTAAATTGTTAGTCTACAAAATAACCCCCGTCAACGCTGACAGATCACCTTAACGTGTTCGTGTTCAAATGTATAAGTTGGCAGGTGCAAACCGCTTAGGACCTAATGATATTGTACCATATGGCTGGGCGGAAGTTGACGGGTACTTTTTTCTAATGCTAGTAATGAACGAATGAGTTGGGTGTTCGGTCAAATAGTCAGACTTCTTTAAATTATAGATCAATGTTCAAAAATAGCTACCCTCAAATTAAATAACTCAAAGTATAGTGCCGACACAAGACAACAGTGACAGGTGTACTTGATTTTCTCCCATTACTAAATTACAAATATATGTGAAATTGCGTTCATAACAAACAAAGAATCTAGAAAAAGACAAGCAAAGTTTAGGTATCCTAAAAACTACTCCGTTTAATGTTACATAACATTGATAGCAGCCCGATATTTACTGATTTTATAGTCAGAGAACCTATCACGTTTTAACAAAACATCGCTAAGCAGTCTCTCTAATTGCTTTGTTCACGATGGCCAATCAAACTTAATAGCTTTTAGGATGAAACTTTATGCAACTGTGACATCTAATAGGTATTAACATGAATCATCAATAATCAAGCGAACTCATTTAAAGGTTCTTCTGACGTCACCGGTCACGTTTATGTTGTTATTAGATATCTAATTCACTATTTGAAACTCGTGCTTGTTTTATTTGATGACGTGTAGCCGACGTCATTCAAGAGTCACTACTAAATAATGTCTAGTGATTACAATTAATAAGAGTTTGTAACTTAAAATCCCTAAAAAACGCCCTTGCTATCCAACCCAACTAAATGATAACCTCAGCGCTGGGAGTTCGTGAAGCAAAGCGTGTCTGGCCAGACGAACTGCCTCAGTGTGTTGTCTCTATAGGATCGGGGAAGCTGCCGTGGCAGTACAGAGCTATAGAGGCTAAACCTACCTCCCTGTTAGATACCATGAACCACGTGAGTAAGATAGGAGTCACGTGACACCAAATTAGTTTGTTACTTTGTTACTGCCGGAAGCTATGTGTTAAATCCGCGATTTTACTGCCAGCTATTTGTGATATTTACCCACTTTATGTTTACTTTAATACGAGTCGTGATATTAGTCTCCTCATCTAAAGTAACTGTTTGTATTTCAATTCTGTCGATACCATTTGTCATTATGTGACGCCAGGTGGTGCCCAAACTATCGTTTAAATGGAGGTTATTCTAACCATGTGTTAACCACGTGTAACAGTCAACTCTATTTAGGTTATAGCCGGAGCAACAGAAACTGAGACTACTCACCTTACCTTAGCTGACTTGCTAGACAAACAAGTTTACTACAGGTTCAATCCCCACATCATGGAGGTAATTAATCACTAATATAAGGGCGATTATTATAATTATCTACGTTTCATTGTGAGTCTTTTACAAGTAGTGTAACCTCTCGGAGACAGATTAAGATTCTGCTCATACATTTTTTATCTACTCGCTTTTACAGTGGTTAAAGTGTAACCGAATAGTTTCAATAAGCCATACAATAATGACACTATGCATTGATTTCTCATTTCAGATAACCCCTCTTGATGAAATAAACAACAAAGTTCTAGAAAACCTAATACTCCAGACTGACTCCTTTGTCAGGAAGAACTCGAGTAAATTCCAGCAATGCAGCAAAGCTCTACTAAAAGAATGTAAGAATAACCCTGGCAGCAAACCGTCGTGGGGTGACATTAACAAGCTATTATGATCAATGATGTGAAGGAAGTACAATAAAGTTAAAACGGGATCTAACCATATTTAAGTTTTTGGTTATTTCCATTATTTTGTAGACTAGTTTTATACTTTGTAATGTTATTTGACTTAACTTATCGTATTATTTTAAAGTTATTAAGTATTGAAGTGTAGTAAATTTTGTATCTGTGATTTCAGGTTCGCGACTTTATATTGTAAATTAATGTTTGTAAGGGGTTACTTCCTAGTACAAATTATCCTGTATATAGTTCCAGTCTGAAGTGATACACATTTCACGTGTGTTGAAATTCACAAGTTTGGTATTTGTTTTTAGTTCCGGGATTAAAATCTAATTTAAGAGTTGAATTAGGACATTCAAGTTACATGCTTATCAATATTTTCTAATTTCCGTTGAGTAACTCTCGCTCTGGTTTCCCATGAAAATTTCCGCTACAGGCTACTGCCAGAAAATTAGGTTTTTCAGACGAGGCTTGAAATTTGAGACAATGTTAATGATCAGATGTTCCTGATTGTATAACCTAATCGCTATCTCTAATCTGATTTCAACTGATAGCGCTATGAAGCATGCTAGTGCACATGTTGCCACAAAATCCTTCTAGAACGCCGGCGGCGAATAACTTTTTGTGTTATTCGTAGCGCGCACGCGGTATTTTCCCCCGGCCGGCCGGCCCGATCGAAATCTGATTTCAGATAATGAAATAACTAGCTGGCTAGCTAGTTAAGCCTAGATAACACCAGTTTAGCTACAGCTACCAATAAATAAATTAGTTGCCTAATTTATAGTTCTGACGAATAAATTCTTTTAATTCGGTAAATTTGTCACATCAATATAGAAGATTAATCGTTCAAGCGCCTGGGTAATAGATAAGCTTGTCACTCTAAATTTAGTGATAACGACCATTTGAAATCTGCTATCAGCATTGAAATCAGGTTAAGGTCGAATTACACCTTAATGATAGATGTACATTGTACTATAGAAATAGAAGGTCTGGTTGCAACTACTAAATCTCTAATCTGTCTTATCCAATTCTAGCAAGATGAATCATTGTCGGAAACTGAGGACTCCCTTGACGATCGGTGTACGGAACATGGCAGTCGGGTATGACTACAAAATCTCACACAAGAAGTGTTGGTTTGAAGACACTGAAAAGAGTAAAACTGTGGTAAAGATACCTTACAAACAGAGAGAAGAGAACATGACTTTGAAGGATAGGTGGCACGAAAGCACTGTGGAGAAGATATTTGAGAATCACCATACGATTGTGGCTTTCCACATGAAATACATGCCGAGAGTCATGTACGAGTAAGTAATCTAACTGATACGTGATAGTATACTTTCTTAACAGTGGCATATCCAACAAGCGTAGCACTAATGTAGAGATTGTTCTCTCACAAGTTCGTGGCGCCGATATAACCTAGGATAATGCCCATAGTTTTTCTAATAGCACAGGGGCAATTAATGGCCTTTGTTTTTGTCCTTAGTTTAAGGGGAGTTAGCAAAGGGTTTGCTTGTCACAACAAAGCAAGAACCCTCTACTTGCTATGCTCATGAATAAAAGACTCCTTCGTTTGTGTTACATTAAGATTACAAGTTACCATGAACGTACTGTTCACTGAGAAAACTGACAAAGTGCAAAGGAATAGTCACATGTTTATCTAAAATGCAACTTAATTTCAGGCAGAAGCTAGACTGGGGTTTGTTAGACTCGCTAGTGGGAACGAGCGTCCAAGGCAACTACTATCCACGACATAGTGTGGTGAAATACCTGAGAAGGTCCAGGTTTCTTCACATGATACCGCTATTCCAACACAACACTGGAATACTTTACACTAATGATGTTAATGAGGTCCATGCTATCTGCAAGTATGAACCTTTTTATCTACCGTGCACTTATTGTTATCTTTATCGAATTAAATTCAATACGCCACAGGAAATCGCTATATTTCTCCATTATTTCTTCAATCATAATTATTTATTGGCATATCCGGTACAGGGCATTGATGAAGACTCAGTACACTAAACATTTGATATTGGGTGGTCTAATCAACGGTAAACTCTATGGTCCCAACACGTTTGTCGAGATTGCGGAAATGGACGACTTACAAACTGGTAAGTTAATTCAATTAAGATTTAAGACAAATATGAAACGGGAACCTTAACTTTCAAATTCATCCCTTCGCCCTTGGGTTAAAAGCCAATTATCATTGAAACAATATTAAAGTTTCATATTCGTGATTCATTGACCCGTTTTTTTCTACAGAACAAGCCAAATTGGTCGGATTGCTCTCATCTGCCGGCACAAGTCTGGTACAGACTCTTTCACAACCCTCCGCTATGTTATCTCTAGTTTTAGACCACAGAAGCAAGAAGCCCGAGAGCTAAGATTTTGATGTTAATAATTTTTAATGTTTATAATTTGGATCCTGGGCAGCAGCTGTAGAAATTGTCTCAATTTTCAATGAGATTTTGCGAACATCAGTGATGTAACTTTGGGATCAAAGCCATTTGAATTCCGACGTATGCTTACCAGCTACGAAATTGTCAATTTTATTCTGAGATTTGAGATGTTTTTACGATGACGATTTACGTGGCGAATAATTTTCGTTGGTTTCGCTTTTTACCTAGTAAAACTTTACTCTTATTTGAGGAATCCCAAACAGTCGATGGCAAAAAACGAAAAATAGCAACGATCCCCCTAACATATTATTGTATATTTTGTTAATTTTACTGAGATGTGATCACAAAGTAAATTCTTTCCTCGTCTATGCTGTGAGAAAGTTGATATTGCATTATACTCTTTTTCCAGCATTTAAATGCTTGCATTTAACCTGGACAGACGTTAAATTGAAAGTAATAATCTTCATAGTGTTACTGTTAGGTATTTGATAAAAGCTTTCTGTCTTCCTGATAACTTATTATATTCTTATTAATGTCACGAAGTGTACAAACTAAAGTTACTCTTCTTTTCTAACAGAATAGTGTACTATTTTATTCGTGCGTCTTATAATTTGGAATTCGTTAAGTCATTCACTCTATAATTAACCTATAGCTTCCTGACAGCGGCAGTTCTCATTTGTTTAAGCATGATTTTACTTGACAAAACTCACTATTCCTTACTATCATTAGAAAATGCTATGTAAAAGGTCACTATCTCTGATAAAAGCCAGCTGTAAAGCAACTTCAGCTCAAATTCCCTTCAGAACCCTATCAGTCAGTAGCAATGAGGTAAACTCCGTTCATTATTTTTATTTTGTGCTGCAATCCGAGAAATACTCTGATATGCTTGTTTAAATAGAAAATTCATCATTTTGAATTTGACAATAAATTCCGTTTCGTTGAACCTAACCTCCATGATCCAGGTTGCCACGAGTACGGAACCAAACGAGGTTTCAAGTAGCGATTTAACAAGACCAATGCCACTGTCACCTCACTTCAAACCTATAACCAGGAAGGAAATATCGCTGGAAACTATTTGGCGTGAGTGACAATTCATTTTTGACATACTGACTGATTAAACCCCACATTGGGAGACATGTGCGAGTCCGTTATAAATTAATCGTCAAACCTTTCACAGTTTTACGTGATTTCAGCTCACAAGGACTCCATCAGAAAAATGTATGCTGAAGCTAATGATCGGGACAAAAAATACGTAACAAAAGAAAAAGGCGATCTGATTTCGAACCACAGCAATGTTCAGGAAGTTATCAAGCGGCCAGAGGTAAGTAAATTATGTCATTTTTCAACTAACCGAAACCGAGTATTGTATGTAAGACATGTAAAATGTTTTGGACCAAAACCAAACTGTCAAAAAAATAGACAGCGGACAATACTATCAGTTTCAAATCTTTACGTCTCCGCTCAGGTTCAAGCTTTTATCGACAATCTGGAGACGAAGTTTCTGGGCGAGGTAGCACAAAGAAATGAGGAGGCTGATGAATTCAGGGCAGAAGTGGGTCAAGTCGGTGTTTATCCGGAGTGCTTACTCGGCCTCGATCCTTTCAACTACATAAGAGAGGTGATTGTTTATTTTTAAACTCTCCACTTCACTGTTTGATATATGAGTATTCTATTACTGTCGCTATGTTTACAATGTAAAGCCATATATTTATAATGTAAAAATTCTTTACAAATTTTGATATAACTTCTGTTCAGGAAGAAATGTTTGACGAGTTCAATGACGCAGAGTTCCCTCTCGGAATTGATGATCTGGTATCAACAAGTGAACCTGTCAACAAAGTTCCTCTCAGAACTCCTGTAGATTTCGCTTATCTCGTTAAAAATGAAGGAGTCCTTCAGGGGACTGGGGAGTTCTTCAAAGTCTTCTTTGGGCAGGTGAATAGCTTTTTATTGGACTTGGAGCTGGCCTCTGATTTTTTGTGGCATTTAAATTGATTAGTTATTCGGATTGCGAGCGTGTCTCTGACCACAATATAACTTAGGGCAAAGCATCGTTCCTGGCTAAGTATGGAAGTTTGAAAAACAGAGGATACGATCACAATTTATCGGACCGATCATTTAGGGGCAAGAACCTTGCAGCTCAACTTCAAGAGGTAAAATTTACTTATATTAATTTTGATGATTGGGATGAAATAGGTAGATTTGTTGCTATTATGCTATATGTCTTGTATCTTAAAAGGAAAACACGTTTGTATTATTGTAAATTACACATTACACAACTGGTAGGGGAAAATCGTCGCATTTCCTTAATCTCTAACTGTTACGATCGTCTAATATCATGTAGATCGTAACAAAAAACTAATTCTCATCGCCTAACATCTCACTTTTCCCTGCTAGAGATACCTGAAACATTTCGACCTGATAGCAAATGAACGGTGGGAAGTACTGCTTGACTATATGGCAGATTTTAAAGCAATCGATATGATGAACAAGTGTAACCAATCGGAACCGGAAGTTGTGAAGTCCTGGTTTACTGTTAACTTCATCAAGAACAACAAGAAACCTAAGATATTGTCTCATTTCGAAGTCCCTTATGAAGACAAGAAATTTGTTCAGGTTTGCTTCTTCAGTATTTTTAACTTGAGCTGTAGAGTGATAAGTGATCATGATGTCAATCGAGATAGTGTATCTTTACTCTTTAACACTGAAATTATATGGCTGGTTATACGTGTGCATCATATATCATGTAAAACATTAACTCAGGTGTTAGTTAAATTTGATATGGAAGTTGAGTGTCTGAACTTTGACGAAGACAGAAACGCATCATTCGGTCAGCACAATATGGTTCATTATGTAATCTTCGAACGAAACCTTAAAGATTTCCTCTCGACATACAGAATTATTGACAAGGTATTGTATTCTATTCGTTACATTTATTTTAAAAGTTAACCTCCGCATACATTCCTCTCGATTTACTACGAGGAATAGTTTAAGACATTTCGTGCGTATACTAAGAAGCTAAGACTTGTCACGTTTAGCCACGTGTCTCACGTGCCTCATGTCTGTTAATTATCCCCTTTTGTATTGCCTTCTATCAAGGCAATGGAAAATTATCGCGTATATTTGTGAATAGTATCTTCATTTCATGATATCATAGTTTAAAGCTTCACCTGTCGTTCTTTTGACACAACATAATATTCACAGGTGTCAGAAAAAGATCTGAAGCGCTTCAAACGCAACAAGTTGGAAGTGCAGCAGGATGATGACGAGGAATAGATTATAAAACATTTCTAGCCGAAATTTTCACCATGCAAGATATCCAATATCCATGCAAGAACATTAAATAAATTAATGCAAGTTGGAACTTTTGGATGTTTATTTTGAGGGATATTGGAGCTTTATATTTCAATGTTTTTGCATTTTGTATTATTAATTTATTAAAATTTTTGAGCGAAAGGTTTGAAAACTTCTACCTACTTTAAAATGGCGTTTTACTTAGACACATGCAAGTATGTATTACTATTAGTAATGCTTTCAATACAGCTACATTGACGCAATGTCTATAAAGTAATTTTAACTATTGATCTTTGCACTCGCCGCTAAATATATAAAAAGAGTTGACTGCCTTCAATGTTTTAGACAAAATTGCAAAACCTTTTTATATGTTGTCGAATAACACGACCATCAGTCCATCTATTTCAGGTAACAGATGTTTTGGTTGCCATGACCTTTTTCTCCGTTGCTAAGACACCCGCCACGAGTGCCCCTATCCTATTTCAAAAAGAAAGGTGATATCTACAGCTGAACATATGTAAGTCCCTATGTCCACTGTGTATTATATTTTTCGTCATGACCAGAATCGCAAAATTGTATCACACTTCAAGTGGTAGATTTTCTTCTGTTCAATATCCATATCAGTCAACTTTAAGAATGGTTCCATCTAATTTCATATAATGCGATACAATAAGTTCCACAGTGAAATGGCTCTGCATAACAACTCACATTTAAGAGTGCGATGAGCAATACTCATTGCTAAATGAAAGTACTTGAGAGCCCGTTTGACTGTGAAGTTTCACAATTCAGTTGGACGTGTTTCCAATTGCGTTTTAAATAGAACGAGCTTGCAAATCTTTGCTTGTTAATTTAGGAGAAACTGTTATGCAAACGATGAGTGCTATGCTACATTTATCTTGTAGTTTAATATATTATGTAGTTTAATTTGAATTGTATGCCACCTTTTACTAGCGCGAGCGGCATTGGATATAAAATAATTTTTAAACTTTTGTGATTTCCTTAAATCGCTTCACAAGGCCCAACTTTATAACAACCGCCTCGTTCGTCTTTAAGAAATCTGTTAAAGTTGACAAGTATTTGCTTATAATTTGTGCTTACCAGGCTGTTATTATTAATATTAGCCACGTCTTGTGATATTATCTTGATATGATCGCCACTAGTACTGCTCCCTCTGAGCCCCCTGCTAAGGAAATGACCGTGTTTGGCCATCACGCGGCTATCAGGAGTCTACACACCATGAAACCTACCTTCAACGAATCTTATTTACTCCTGACACGTCAGTTTGAGGGAAGGGTGGAGCCTAAAAAGGAGGGACAAGTCTTCAGGGTGATGCAGTGGAACATGCTTGCTCAGGGTTTAAGATTGTTGAAACTAACGCCTTTTTAAAATCAAGCTTACTTTTTTCCAATACTTTTTTCGATGCTACGATCGTTATTTGGATCGCGGTTCAAGCTGGATTGTAGCTCGCACATCTATATTTCATAGAATTTTTGCATCTGTGCATGATGATACCACGTTTAACATAGCAATTTAGATTTTCGCTGGTTTTTGTAAACTTATGTTAGTATCTCAGGTCTGACCGCGTCCAATGCTCGTAAAAACTTCTGCAAAACTCCTCCAAGATGGCTCGAATGGGAAACTCGAAGGTAACCACAACTTCATCTTGAACCATTAGAAATTACGTACAGTAACACAGCTTGGCATACCTTAATTAAGTTGTACTCTAAACGATCTCTTCATAAATTTAAACTGATCGTGATCCAATCTTGAGTCTTGTCACCCTTCTTCAACCTAATTCATCTAGTGCAATTTTTATTATTCACTTGTGTGACTGTCAACTATGGTCAGTTCTACCCTAGGTATTTGTTACTGATGGAGATATTGAGTTACATGCCGGACGTAATCATCCTCCAGGAGTGTGACAGATTCGAGTTTTTTGACGTGAAACTGCGAGAATTCGGTTCGTAGACACTTTGTTAAGAATTGGATTTTATTCTATTCGGTGTTCTATTTCTGACTCTAAGTTGTAAGTGAAAATTTGAACTTAGGAGATATTACCTTACATAGTTTACATAGGTTGTCATGATTCATCTTCACAGGGTACAAGGGAAAATTCCACGAAAGACCCTTTTCTCCTTGTGTTGATGTTACGGATGATGACGAAGGAAAACCTGACGGATGTGCTATCTTCTACCACACGTTAGTTATAGTACTCACCAACTACATTGTACATTATACATTGTACATTGTACAATGTACAAGCAACCCTCGTCCCCTCGCATGGGGTGTAATTGGGTACACTTTATGTACTCACGAGCATTCGATATAATTTTTTTTTTTTTTTTTTTTTTTCTTTTCAATATGCAACCTACTAAAACCAATGGGGCCCTCCCCGGGGTCATTACTCTCGCATTTGCGAGAGTCGTCTCAAAGGTGTGAAAGTAGGTCAAGATTTGTTCACACCAAGCCCTAGCATCGCTATTTGCTGACCATCTGCCTTCACTGAAGGTATGTTTTTAGAGAGTGGAGGCCGACCGTCAGCTTGGGATGCAGGGCCAAGTGGTCAACAACGTCAAGGCTCCCTTCCACATGGGCCATGTTGGTTTTGGCAGATACTGTGGTAATAAGATATGAAGTGAATGAGTGAAATGAAGTGATTGAAAAGGGTTTAAAAGAGGAAGAGCTTGTAAGGTAGTTTAGGAATGGAAGGAATCAGGGCATGTACTACAAAAAACAGTTAGTAGTACTGTAAGATAGTAACAATAACCATTGATAATAAAATAACAAAGACAGCAATATATAATATAGCAATTCGATATAATTCTGGCGAACTTAAGTTGTCGAACTATAGTACGTGAATCTTATCTAACAGCTCTTCACTTCAGAGAGAGGTTTAACCTGGTAGAGTTTGTGCAGAGACAGCTAGTAAACCAGATGCAGCACAGCACCAGCACTCTGGCATTTGCTCTGAAGTTGGAGTTTGTGGAGGATAACCAGCCCCTACTTGTTGTAAACACCCATCTTAAAGGTAGCTCCAGTGAATATTTAGCTCCTTTTGAAATGAATTTCAGGGGAACTTTGTTATCAATGTTAGGTTTGTGAGGTTAAATTCATTGTGAGTCAGTTTTGACGGTAAAAGTAAAGGACACAGAATTAATCATTGAGAAAAAGCAGCAGTTATAGTCATGTTCCCCACTTTCCCCTACAGGAGGCCCTAAAACCGAGCAGACAAGATACGAGGCATGTATTGATCTGAGTAACTTCATAGCAGAACATTCCGGACCTCAAGAAATAGTGATCTTGGGGGCTGATCTTTGTGAGAGTCCCTCACAACGAGGATACGATCATCTCATCGCCAAGTTTAAGGTTTAAAGTTCTAAACAAAGTTATTATTTTTAAGACCAACTAATAAACCATGACCAAAGATTTAAAACTTAGAAAAATTCGTTATATAAATAGAAGAGTACTTATACTGGGATAAAAGGTTGGTTTTAATAAAGTTTTAACAAAAGTTTCGATATAATCATATTCGACAATGTAGGAAATAATCGGATTCTTAATTTAAAGGACGCGTACAGTTTTGCTCTGGAAGGTAAACATCCGTCTTTTACCACCTGGAGGCTCAGACCCACGGGAGAGGAGAAATACACCAATGATTATATCTTTTACGACGACGTAAAACTCAGGTATTTTGTTAATTGTTTTCTTCGGTTACTTTAAACTTTATAGCTCATATTTAAAAATTGTCCAATAAGAATATTACATGATCAGCTGATCCTCAATCGAACTACGTGATTAAATTTGTCCATTTGTACTATCCTATAACAGTTTAAACTCCGCTCTTATCAGAGTCCTGCAAGCGCTAGCTACCCCTCCTGACTCAACCGTTGGAGAATACAAACTGCCCAATCGGTTCTGTGGGTCTGATCACATCAGTTTGGTTTGTGACTTCCAGCGTATCATGGCCAGCGATTGAGCGGACTGGTGTCCTATGATGGTAGCGTAAATATGCATCAAGATAAAGCATGTCAGAATTCCAGGAGGAGTCGCACACCACCCTTATTAATGAGGATGTCGTATCACAGTGTCGCGCTGTGCTGGAATTCATACCGATAAAGGACTGAAAGGCTGATCAAGCGCAATTAACAATACCAGTAAAACTGGCTGAACTGTGAAGGACTTGCGTTGCAGACGAGTATTAGACGACGCATTATTATATCGCAATTTGTCGTCTGAGTTCCGCTGTTCTATTTTTGTGTGAGTGGATAGACTTGATGATCTTAATAATATGTCTTGTGGAGTTCTCTGCCATTTAGAGGACGGTATACGAGTGCTTTTTTAAGAGTGGTTGTTTCGATTTTAGTGGTTTTGGGAGCACTTTGTGTATTTGTCTGTCTACTATTATGAGTTTTTTTTGTAGAATCAGTTGTTTCGATTTGTTTTTAGCTGGCTCCAGGATCTCGCTTTGTTGCGGAAATAAGCAAAATTGTTTGGTAATAATCAGTACATGATAAGAAGTAGTTATCCCTGAAATATCCCTGATTTCACGCAAGATATTAGATATACCGTGGTTATTTCGAAACTGTTAAAATGAAATTTGTGAAATTTATCAGCCCATAGCCTAGCTGTAAACGTAAAACAACGAATTTGCGAACTCCTTCAATAACAGGTGGCGCCTAAAACAAGCCTGCTATTTTTGCGGCCCCTATTCCCGGCCAAAAAATTTTGTTGCCTTTTTTACTTCTCCCCTGGTCTGTCAATTTTTGGTGCATTAAAACTCCCAGAAACCTTATTTTTTCACATATTTGACATTAAAACATTTATCAAAATAGCTATTAAGCTATATTTGCCTTTATCGTAAGGACTCCGATTTGCCAATTAGCTGATATCAACACAAGTCAAAGTTTGGATATTTAAAATTAATCAGGGAGCTGGGATTCTCGTAATTTATAAATGTTGACAGTTGTGAATATAAATATCTCCTCATGCCGACCGCTCTACAATTTAGTAAATATCACTCACTAAAAGTTCCTCACAAGACGTTCGAATAATCAAACGCGAAAATATATATTATTATTTAGGAGTTTGAAAGTTTCATTGAAAGTTTCAAACTCTAAATGAGTAAAATATAAATACTTTCGCGATTATATGGAATTTATAACGTTGTCAAGAAATGGATTTTCATGTGTGGCATGCACCGATACCCACAACTTGACTCAGACAGCAAGATTTATTAATTGGCCGCTGTTTCTTTGTGTGATTAATTCCTTGTCTGAATTTAGTGATACGGCTGTGGGTTCGCCGATAGTAAGTTCCTAATTACTATCACATAAGTTTATCACTCAAGTAACCATAAAGATAAGAAGATATCGGCGGCTTTGGTTAAAATCACTGCCTAGCACTCAATAATGTGTATTAAAGCATCAAATAGTCTTACATGATTTTGACTTGGCAGCGCAGTAAGTGTAACAGTAACACTTTGTAAGTTAACGAGAATTATGAAGAAGAAGAAGGTAGCCTTATCAATCAAAATAATACTAATAGCATGATCGATTTACCTTGAATTGAATGGCTGCGTGATTTAACAATTAAATTGTGGTCTGTTGTGCTCATGCTTCCAGCTTCTTCAAAGTCTTACACTTACAGTTACTTGATACTTCTCTAAGTCTAACCTCTATAAACAATACTTATACTGAAAGTTATAGTTTATGTGCTGTCATTTCTCGATTGGAATGGATAGGGTTGATTGACAATTGACACCTGGTTGAGCATTACAAATTCTGGACCAGGGCTCATGCTGTCAACAACCCCCACATGATCAAATTGCTGTAATTCATATTACTATTAGTTCGAAACGAAATCAAGGAGTTTCAGCTAATAATCTTGCGACAACAAAACTCACGATGGTCCCGTCACATTCCTGGGTTTAAACAGTAACTGTGGATTGCATGGCAGATGATACTGACAGAATCACGGGCCAGTCAGCCCTCCTAAGGACTAAGCGTTTCCTTTCCAGATACTTAATTTATCCGTTGTCGTTCACAACTAGATTTGTGTCCGAGTTGACTCTTTCTGTGCTACAGTGGCCCAGGGTACATGGGAGAAGAATTCGAAGTCAGAAAAGAGTACTTGTGCCATTCCACACCAGTAGAAACTATCCTTGTTTAGATACTGATAAGCAGCCATACTCTTCCCTTGGCGACTCTTTGCTCTGGGTAGGATAAATGAATTGGTTTCATTAGTGCATTCGGTGAATGGACACATTGCACAAGGATCAACCAGGGCTAATATGGCTCGGTTGAATTTTAATTTCTAGAAAAGTTTAAACAGAGCATTTTATGACAGAAATAGAATTTAATCCTGCGATCAGATTGGATAAAATAAACATATGCATATCCCAACTTATAGTTATATTATTATATACTTATATTATTATTATATTATTATTATTATCTGGCATTCGCATTGATATTTCAATTTCATCTGCGTCTATTAAATATTATCGTATCTTTTTGTTTTTGTGTGGTTTTTATTCTACTTCTAGTTGCTAGTTTAATTAATTAATTTTAAATCGGCCCACCGTGTCCGTACTCCGTACTCGTAGCGAAGTTGATTTGTAACTTGGCTCATCAAAATGCAACTTTGGGTCCTCCACTCAAATCCTATTTTAGCATATTATTAATATAGTCATTAGTGTCATTAAATTCACGTATGTGTGCTGCCCAGCATCGCCATCTCTATGATATATCTTTTTGCAATTTCCTTTCCTCTAATTACAAACCCGATAATTATCACGATAAATTTAGCTAATTAAATCAATATAGACTACCTGACGCATGGTTGGACAGTGAAATTTGCTTCAGTTTACTTTAATTTTTAACAAAAACTTACTGGGCCGCGCTCAGCCTGTCATTCCGCCTAATCTCTATAATTATGAACATGATAGCCTGAGGTCCCCAGGTAAACCTGTTGAGGTAAACCTAGATGAGGCTCATAGTCATAAAATGATTACTCCTTTTTTGTAAGCATTGTCAAATGTTTTAGAAATTTTTGAGTAGCATCAATTTTGAACTAATACAGGGTGGGCCAAAAGTCAGTACCCATACGTTGGCCTTTATAGCTCAGTCACTGAGTGCCCAATTTAAATACTTCTTTCTGGTATGACTTAGTACCACCACTGGTTCGAGGAATTTGTCAACTCGAAAAATATTCGCGTTCATTTTTTTTCAAATGGTGGTTCATTTTCACATTTATTTGATAGTTTGGATAGTCGGATCAAGCTAAATGTTATTGAATTGTGTTTGGTTATTTGAATTACGTTTGTCCTGAAAGAATTAGAACTGTAGCTTCTCAGATGACCGAGATATGAAGCATAACGAGTTTATTCATTACGTGTGATCAGGTGATTGGTTTACCTAATCACGTGATAAGGTGCCCTCGTTAACTACCCCGTTAAACATTATGGGAATTGTTAAGGGTGCCCAATTAAGGTGTCGTGTCACGGTGTCACATAATCACCCAGTCAATATTGTTAACAAGATACAGAAAATGCTTGATAACTTCGTCATTTCTAATCCGTTTTGCCTCATATTTTCAGATCATATGCAACATTTGATAATCTACCGTCTCTGAAAACATGAGGCGTTCAGCATGTTCAGAGAAAACGATATAGGTGTTTTAATATTGAATGGGCGTGGTCTAAAATATTCGAATTTTCAAATTTTGACGACGGAATCCTCGAACCAGTAAGTACAGTATGCCATCTGCAAAGCAACAGCTCTCAAATATAAAACACGGCGGAGCTATTAAGGCCAACGTATGGGTACTGACTTTTGGCCCACCCTGTATAATATAACCTAATACAAAAGAAAAGCAGGAAGACGGCGTCTTTCATTCCTACAGCATTATTTTATTGAAATAGGTGCAGAAAATTCCATTTTTCATATAAATATTTCCATAAAGGTGTGGTATTGATATAGCATATACAATATAGTCATAGATGAGCTACGCTTAAATTAACCTAAAATTTGTTAATTAGTATGTCCAAGAAAAGGTTATCCCACTTCTCCCGCTCTTATTAAATATTAGTACTCAATTAGGAAATAATCCTGTAACCATTTAAATTCCAGGCACAGACATTTTGGATGTGCTTGAACAATGTAATCTCAGTGTTCCTTTGTACTGAAATACCGTTTACCAAGGGCAGGGATGCACAGCGAGTTATGGTCGGGCACTCCTTAATGCTCGACAGTTAGGGTCTGTTTAACATCTTATCTATGTTCTGCACTTTTGAGTTTTGCCATCTACACAACTTTACCCGCCAACGTGACCCGAATGAATAATTGATGGGAACCCGGAACAAGGTCCTTTCGCCTTTGGGATGCATAATGTTAATGGCTCCTCAGTTCTCAGTTCTCAGCATGCGGCATGGGCGATCTATTATTCACTTTTAAATTTGACCACACAAACCATTCCCGTATCTCCCGTGGCATGAATATTAATATTCGGTTAGGTTCTTTGCATTGTTCAGTCTATACTCTACACGCTCTCGACTAACGATAGTGCAGGTCAGTATTTGCACATGTAACAGAGTCGAGTGTACAGGGAGCCATTATCAGGTTTAAGAGGGCAGACTCAGGAGAGTAGAGAGAGAGCCTAGACTTAGAGAGCCTAGAGAGAGAGAGAGAGAGTTGGAGAAAGAGATGTGACAGCTCTCTTGGTCCATTCCCACTAATGAGCGGTGTGTGGGCCCTCCTATTTCTCGGAGAGCTGGATCAGTGGTCAGTTATCTTTTGTTGTGAAGTTAACAGTGCACCTCCAGGCAGGATAAATGCTAATCTTCACCTTTCATCTCAGTCCCCCATTTTAGCCCTGAGAGCTCCGCCGTCCGCATATATCAAAATACTGTGTATGTAGTTGTGAGGTAGGCGGTAACAGTAACACTAGCTGAGGTTGTTGAATGATTTATATCTCGGAACCTGTACACCCATGAGCAAAGGTAGTTCCGGCCTCATATTCGTGCTGTCTAAAGTTTTTATTCCGTGATTTGTAATGTTAGTGAAGCTACCGGTAAACAACCAACTTTGCAACGCCAACATGCCCTGCCAGTGCCACTCATGCGATCGATGCTGAACGGCCGTGCCGCACGCGTTTGATGATTTCGATTGAGTAGGTTCAACTTTAAGTTTAAGCCAGTTGAATTTAGGCACCAGCATTGAATTTGTGCATATTGTGTTTTAAAACGTATACTGGTTTGATATCTATGATTTTTTTTTTCGTGATTGAAAGTTGAGCTTTCAAATTTTGGTTGTCTCAATAGTTTCTGTAAAGTTTAATGTACAAATTAAAACGATTGCTGCCAATAACTATAAGTATAAGCGTAATTATATCATGAACGCAATTTTCATCCGTCACATCAAAGTTCAGTAGTACTTCATAAGCCCGTTTGATTGATGACTGACGTAGACATGAGGATCACCAACAAAGACTCAGTCAAGTGGGAGAAAGGTCTTGTGACCCGGGAGAGATCCCTCTCCCCACCCCCACCTCCTGAACTACCTCCGCAGGACTCAACCTTTACCGCAGAGCCTGGTGAGCTGGAAATATACTGCACTGACTTTGGTACGTGGTGATCTTACTTCTTATCTCCGCTGAAACCCCATGTTACCAATAGAGCTATTATCTTATCTTTGCTGTTTACTATTTTCTTATCTTCTCTTTCACTTCTCTTTCACTTCTTGTACCCAATTTTGGGGAAATTTGGGTGGTTACGCTAAGGAGACGCCCGGCTGAGCCAGCATTTTAGTGACAGCTTAGTCATGGTTAGTGACATTTTAGTGACAGCTTAGTCATGGTTACTAGGTATCACTATCCAATTAGCTCGTTTTACAAATGAAAATTACATGTGCAAATTGTAAGGCTTTACTCCACATTGCTCACAAGCACTTACAAATCAATCTATTATTCGTGTCATAGAAATAATATAGTCAAACATGAAAGGCAAAATCTTACAAATCCTTACAAGTCGGAATTTCCACCTCAAGTATTGTTTCAAGACAAAGCTGCTCATTTGTGTCGAGCAGTTCGCAGGAACTTCGTGGAGTAATATAGCTGACAGATCAATGTTCCTTCTTACAAAACTAAGGGAACAAATTCCTTAATCCAACTTAATTTCTAATTAAGGAATGGAAACAGTTTACTTAGGCTGGTCGAGTATATCCCAAAATGATTAACGTTGTCACAGGACACTGTGTTAAAATGCTTCGAGACATCTGATGGTCTCACTCGTAAAGCTTCTTGTAAGACTAAGAGAGCTTAATATTTATTGTTTCGAAAGCTTGGTTTTTGTTAAGTTTCCTTTGCCAAAGACATCAGCTATGTCAGCTAGAAATAAGTGGAAGGCGCTCATAAATAAACACCAGTCCATGATTAACGCGCAAGCTGTTAACCAAGATGTTATTGTTAAGCAAGAGGTTAATCAAGATGTGTTAACGAAGCCAGCAATGTCACCTCAATCCACCCGGAACATGTGGGAGATGCTCATAAACAAACATCAGCCCACATTTAATCAAGAAAAACCAATCTTTAAGTCCCGTAGTCGATCTTCATCAAGCTCTATTAGGGGTGAAAATACTTTTCATTACATTTTCATAACTCTCCAGTAACAATTTTGAAAAATTCAAAACGTACAATCTGTGCTTTGTTCGACAAACTACCAGAGTTACAATATTTTCTTAAAACTCTGATTCTCAAGTGCTTAAGCAGAATGTTTATCATAATCAGCTTTTTCTTTCCGCTCTTGCTATGATGATTCATACAATTTAGCATGAGCTAAGTTCGACATTTTTTGAATGTTACACTTACACCATATTATGCTGATATATCTGCCGCACTTTATGTGTTATATTTGAGTGCATGACTAGCAGAAGCAATTCTTACTTTTTCTGTCTCTATAAGGAGTCGAGTCTGCAGGTTTGTTTTGACACGTCCTGCCTTTAAACTAATGATCCTGCCGAACAATGATCAGGTGAACCAAAGGCGCCGCGGAGCTCGGATCAAGGAAACACTTCAAGGTGCCGGGAATCTTGGGCACGTTGTAAGGAGGCCCACAAAGGAATTTAACGTGTCAAAACACACATGCACTTATAGTTAATAACATGTCTTCTCACCCACAATATATCCCAGAGATTCTTCCACCACCCACACCAAACAGCGAACCAGAAGTGGAGTATGATCAGAACGGGCTTGATGACGACGAGGATGAACTCATGGAGAACACCACCACTCCGGTAACTCCGGTAACTGCTGATCCTCTTAGCAGACAAAACTCAAAAGATTCATCTTCCCCGAAAGAAGACCAAATGATCAGGCGACCTAGCACTATATTTAGTTCGGCTGGAAATGGAGAGGTGGTCAGTCCCTGGGGTCCACCGACAAAGTTTGTATTTCATCTTATTTCCCTTGATGCTCACCTAAATTCAGAGCGTCGTAAGGTTTCACAGAGACCAGTTAAATACATTACCACTTTCTTTTCCTTTGAAATACAATCAAACGATGGAGCCCTTTATTAGCCTTCTCTGAGAAGTTCTCATACAACCCTACTCACAGGTCGATGAAGAAGAAAAAAGGTTGGATTGAGCCGGTAAAGCCAGTCACTGTAAAACCGACAAAAGAGATAAAAAAGATAGTAGCGGACACTAACGAGCTGTTCAATTTATTTGAGAGGCGAAACAAGGGGGAGAAAATCACCAAATTAGGGGACAGTGATGCTATAAGACCTGATGAGGTAGGTACACGCTTGCTTTTTTCAGATTGGCAAGTTTGGAGTATTTTCTGTCCATTACATTTAATATAATCTAGAAGATTGTAAAATAATTAACTTGACAGAAAGACAGCACGGAAGTCGGAGGCAATATCCACATGCGGATAAGCTTCAGTCAGCCAGCAACCCTCCAAGTTGAGGTTAAACAAGCTGACGATCTTGTTGTGTCCGTTAAGAACAAAACTTGTAACCCTTACGCTGTGGTCACACTCCTTGGGGAGTATGAGGTCTTCAAAACTGAGGTACTTTCTATAAATCAATAACTTGTTGATTCAATAACTTTTTGATTCCGCAACTTGTTGATTAAACAACTATTTAATTTAGTGAGCTGTTGATTCAGTTGCAATATAGCTCAGAATCATCTGGGTAATTTTAGTGTCCTGATCGGTGATGTTATAAGTATTCCCATCTTTACGGTGGTGTAACAAAGGCCCTGGATTGAAAGCTATGCTTGTACACTGAGCTGTGGTTACTTTAAACCTGTCATTATCTTATACTATCGGTAACACTGAGTAATAGTTACCTACTTCTCATCAACTCGTTAGCTGAAACCGATAAATAAGCAGTATTGGCCAAGATAGACTATTGATCTGCATTCTGCATGCTAGTGAACCATATTTGTCTGACACGTGACAGCGATTAACCAATCAGCTTCCATCATGGACGTATTAATACCAGGAATCACTGTTAGTACTGTGTCAAGACAAATATAGTTCACCTCTCCACCAGTATGCTGATCTATGATTTCTACTGAGTTTAGTTAACTTAACATTAGTACCAACTTCACACTTCACATGTGCACAATTTTCAGGTGGTGGCTCTTTCACAGAACCCAGTATGGAACCAAGTATTCGACTTTGCACTGCCTCTCAAATTCCTTCAAACCACGTAAGTCATGTCTAAGGTTTTTGTTAACATTACAACCTCACTTTCTACAACCTCACTTTCTAGATTATTCTCGTTGAATAGTACAATTACATACACGATATCAACCTCACTACGTCACCATGCACCCACTCCTTATCCAGGGACGGTCAGTGCACAGTGCACATTGTACATTATAATTATAAAGAAAGCGCCTTATTCATATATTCACTCTAACTTATCAATATTAAAGCTACTCCAGCGTAGCTCACATTGAGACCATCCTCATTAGCCCTCACGTACAGCGCCTGTGTCTACAATGGTCGAAACTTACTGGCTCACAATTAATAGTCTTATGTGGATTTGATTTGGTTTTAATCTCCACCACTGTACAAATGTAAATGTCGAATATAAGGATCATAGACTATGTTATAACTTATAAGGTGATCTCTACTCTTTTCATAGTGTCAGTGATCCACTGATCAAAATTGAAGTAGACAAAATCCTTACGACTAGTCATATTCCAATAATATGCACACATAATAGTAATACAATTTTAACATCTAAGACTCGACAAGGTGTGCCTTATTGATATAACGTTAAACTCCTGACTATCCCAGAGCTGTGCTGGTTGTTTTGTACAACAAACACGGGGAGACCGTGGAGGAGTTCCTGGGTGAGGTTCACATCTCCCTGGCTGGGTACAAACACTTCAAAGTCATGGACGATTGGTACCCTCTTGAGGATCTGGTTAGTGTGTGTGTGTGTACGTGTGCACGTGTGTACGTGTGCACGTGTGTACGTGTGCACGTGTGTACGTGTGCACGTGTGTACGTGTGTACGTGTGTACGTGTGTACGTGTGTACGTGTGTACGTGTGTACGTGTGTACGTGTGTACGTGTGTACGTGTGTACGTGTGTACGTGTTTACGTGTGTACGTGTGTACGTGTGTACGTGTGTACGTGTGTACGCGTGTGCACGTGTGTACGTGTGTACGTGTGTATTGTGTAACTGTCACTAAGATGCGTTAATGTAAGTACCTGTACATGTAGATCGCGCATCTATTAAGGACCTTAGCATCTATTAAAGACCTTAACAGGGTTATATCTTGGTGACAGTAAGTACGTGTGTAATTTCTGGAAAAGCTGGAACAATGGAGCACGGTCTTTAAAGCAGTCTATGTATTGTCCCTTGTACCTTGTAAGATCGTGCAGGTCGATTTGTTACATCTCCAAATGTTGCTTGTCATTGTTCTGGTGGGATAACCTGTATGCGATGAGGATTTAACTAATGTTGCCGCAGAGAGGAGAAGAAGCAAAGTTTGATGGTTACCAGGAACTCCAAAAAGTACTGAAGTCTCTGAAGACAAAAGCTCCGATGTCTCTGCCCGATACTCTGCGACAAGATGAACTGAGGAAGAAAGAAAACTTCAACAGTTACTAGAACTGCCGTCAATCAGGACTATGATAGACCAGGACAGCTGGAGTAACAGCCAGTTGGGAATGAGATTTATGAAAATATAGGACTTGATGGAATGGAATTAAATTAGGAACTTGATGAAAACTCAAAAGACGCTGGAAATATGTTCGAGATTTTGCTGAATCGTTTGCTAAAGATTTCAAACACCAAATAAGATACTATACAGAATGAAGTATATTATTATAGACGTGCGATAATTTTTTAAAGAGGATTTTACTTCTAGAATGAATAGACTATCACTTTCTCTAAATTGCTTGCCCAATGTTTTGAAAATTCTATGAGAGACGTATTATAACTCTTTTCTGACGAATTTTCGACAAAAAATACTTTTTTGGTTACGTGATAAAGCCAATGAACTCTAATTGGATTGTTTACAGTTAGATTAATGGTTTTGAAATTGCAGTTTCTTTTGCCAGAATACTGTCACAATCACGTGACATTTTTGGGTTTTACTGATATATTAAGAGGCAGACTTTTTTACTCATTATATTGAGATAAGATATTGACTGGAACTGACCTTTAATTCCTGATCGACTCTGCATCTCATTGCCTGATTATTGCTGGCTGTACCAATTTCAAATGCGAGAAAATGGTTACGAAATGAGGATTCGTGATTGCACGGTTTTAGGATGTTTTTAAATTTTCGAGGCGTTATTGTTTTTATGTCTCTATATTTCCTATTGTTTACAAAATTTCTGTAAAAATTAGCTTTGATTGTAAATGTTGAAAATTGTAAATGTCTTAGATTTCTTCTTAACTGCACAGTTAGCCATGTTTCGCAATGTTCCCTGGGTGGGTGTGGTACTTAAAGCACGAGGGCTAATTAATATCTTGAGAGGGTGGAAGAACAAAAGGTTCAAGCCAAGCGAAGCATGGCTAGTAATTGCACAGCAGTTTAGAGCTGCTTCGTCAAGTAAAAACCCTCAAAGATTTCATACTATTTCCTTTTCATACGTAACTTACATATGAAAATATGCGCTTATTACATTATTGTGAGCACAAAAAAGGACACCTGTTATACCTCCGCCATTGATGAACAATTGTATCGTCTAAATTCCACTTTAACAAATAACGATCTTTACTGGAAATAAATTGGTCTTAAATGCATGATATTGTCTTTGGAATCTTACTTTGAGTGACAAGATTATGGACGTTGCCTTGACAGACTTATTCACTTTCAAATGTTTTTCGTAACGAATGATGGAAATGAAACGATCTAAAATTCTGTTTCTAAAATATCCTGTTTAATCTAAGTAAAGATACCAATGTATTCGCTAATTGTTACATATCTATAATTAGTGTCGCGTTAAAAATTGTACGGCAATCAACATGAAAGTTCCTTGGAAATACAAAGTAAATTTATTTGAAATGATCATTAGGCATTGTTATTTGTTACCCGGAAGCGGCCAGCGCACATTAAATAATTTATAATCCCGAATATCTAGTCCAATTCCATCTTTAAAAGTCTGTTCTGTACATGTGACCATTCTATATAGGAGACCTCCATTGCTCTTCTGCCTCCCTGGTCGTCTTTAGAAACAGAGAAAGCGTTCCGTCCGTGCTGAACACGCCAGTTGTCAATCACTACAAGGTCACCTCCTTCCAGCTTTACCTGAATTGATACGTTATCACGACCAGAGATTCCTCAGATATAATAAGTGAAGCTAAGTAAGACAAATTGAAATAGTACAAAACATGTGACCAAATTGTTTATAATGAATATTTAAATGATTCATGAACATTAGAATTACTTGAGCTCATTAAGATACCCAGTCGATATAATAAGTTATTTTTAATTTATCGGCTAAAACTTCGGTGATTTCTTTTAAAAGTTTGTGGATTTCGGCACATTTTAACAGTTCGTTGAGTGCGTTTTATGTGCAGTTACGAGCAGTTCCGCGATAATAAGCATAATACGGAACGAAATACTTTTAAATAATTATAAAAACATATCATATCCTGATATCTTGTCAGAAGTGTGAATTACAAAAGCAAAGTTACCCCTCCTACCTGTACGCTTCTAGCGGGATTCTCCATAAGCTGTCTCAGATACCTGTACGCCTGCCACCATCGAGCCCTTATATCAGGGCTGTAATCCTGTATAAACTTAAAGGTATCTATCACAAAGCAACAATCCCTCACTCGGTAGATATCGTCCCCCATTAGTTCAACAGTCGGGTAACTTCCTGCCATGTGCCACTCTTTCGGGTACTGTCGGAACGGGATTTGGACCGAGGTCAACAGCTCGAACATGTCCGGATCTGTCTCTCTGAAAAGAAGTGCAGGGATGATTACCCTCCCACATAGTTTCAACTCTGTTTTTACGTTAACTTGTAGCAGGTAGCTGTGCATGTTAATAAATGATCACGAAAGGCCTGTAAAAATATAATGCAAGCTGTATTCAAATTATTTCACGATTTAGCCATGAAAGTCCGGACAAAGTAAGTGTACCGTGAAATTTAACGAAATTCATTCAATTGCTCGGAGACATATTAACCAACTTGCTCGGAGACATATTAACCTTTCAGCTTTGCCCAAATTCTCCGATTAGTCTATGGAGATAACTTTTGTATTCAATATGATGGTAAGGATAATCGAGATAAAAATCTCCATAATTTGAACATTGTGACTAAGGGTTGAAACAATGCAGTGTACATTTCTGATGAAAAAGATCCACAAGGGGGACTTTACTGGAAATGCAAAATAGCAAAATTGGAAGAAACTTTACAAAAATGATCACTCAAGTTATTGTCCATTTCAAGCTCAAGGAACAGTCAGCTCTTAAGAATAATTTTAAACACACTACTGACTACATAGAATAGCTCGAATTATCAAAAATACTGCACACTGAGAATTCTGTCTTATCTTTTGTGATGACCTGGGTTTTCGATGATCTGATGTATTCTAATTTTTAAAATCTTCAGTATTACACACATGTCCTCTCTACAGAAACTAATGGGACGCAGTTTCATCCAGAATCTACAAAGTAGTTTTTAGATTCGCCATGACGTATCTTGTAAGTGATCAAAAGAAATCGTTGTCTTACTCTTATGTTTATTGTCAGCTCAGGAACCCAACAAGACATATTGAGAACCACTTCTAAAATTACCTAATATGTTGAACAGAGCTGAAAGTATCAGACCAGAAACTCTCCCCACCTTCCAGCTCGTTTGCCACACAATGGAAGAAGTAGACAGAGGGAGTCTGAGTGTAGTAGGGCATGTCCGTGTGAGCTGCCAGTCGCTGGTTGTTGAACGCTTGGTTGGTCGGATCGTCTGGAAAGATAAATGGTGTCCTGTTTAATCATGAAACCTTGTGTTGATATGAGAGGTTTTCATTACGAAACACAAAGATGGTAGAGTTGACATAGCTCGGAGATCTCGCCATGTTAAATTAGTATTGTTCGAGAGGAATTTGAACTTACTTTGAAAAGAGACTTTGCTGAGGACACCAAACATGTTGTCCCAATAGGGAGTCACTTTGAGGTCTTTCAAAATCTAGTGAATTAAAAAGTTATTTCAAAATCTAGTGAATTAAAAAGTTATTTCAATTTCTGGTTCATTATCAACCGTTCTAAAATGTATACTACTATTTTAACATCAAACCCCATCCCAATGTAAATTGTAATCAAGTCTATTATAATCATTAAAAAATAGCAACAGCATATTAGGAGTTTAAGGGCGTAGTTCCATAACATAAAATTTGCCGAGATGAGCGGCAAACTGATGACACCCCCCCCCCCCCCCCCCCCCCCAACTTCTAATTTCTACCTGTAAAAGATCGTCAGGTTGGTGGGGTGTATTTGATAGAAAAGCAAGGCCATATTCCATGAAATGTGCCAAAAACTCTTTCGTTTTCTCGCAACTACTGATAACGTCTTCGTACTGAAACCTTGTGGAGATCTGAGCTAAATCGTTGTTATTATTCATTGGAATCAGAGGTAAGAAATGTAGCGATGTTTTACAATGTCATACCACCATCTGTGTAGAAAATTGTATGATTTAATATCACTTTAATTCGTGTGGAGGTGTAAAATTTACCGCAACTGAATTGATTAGTTAGATATGGTACAGAGTTAGATATGGTACTGAATTAGATATGGTACTGAGTTAGATATGGTACTGAGTTAGATATGGTACTGAGTTAGAATATATATGGTACTGAGTTAGATATGGTACTCAGTGAGATATTGTACTATTTACTGATCAGTGTTTTAAAGAAATATAATCTTCCTAAAAAATGAGCACTGAGCAGGCAGCTCGATGTTACCTTTTAGTGACTTCGCCTGTTGGGGACTCCCAAAATGTTTGTACGGAGTTTTTTCTTAAGCTTAGATCGTAGAATTTTGAAGAAGGGGTAGGCTTGTAACCGTTACCATAGGCCCCCCTCTGAAAATGATGGTAGTTATTATATATCTCTCCTCATTCGGATTATATATCACTTTTCCAAGAATGTTTTAATCTCTCCTCATTCTGAAATTCTTCAAACATATGTATATTAAGATCAATTGAGCTTCTTTAATTCTCATAATTTCCAAAAGTTGATAAAATTGCAAGCTGGTAGAGCTTGGATCCAGAATAATGATTATAGAAAATACAAAAGCTCCGGACGACAGGAGACTAACGTCTGATCTGGGGATGATGCCGGTGTGACCATCATCCCAGAGGAGAGATACGAAATGGTCCTGAACCTCCTTAACCTCGGTGATCTTCACATCTGAGTAGTCGTCAGTGTGGAGAGGTTGGTTACTTGTCGCTCCAAAACACTCACTGCACCTGTAACAATGAGGACAATGAGGACAATTCAGCAATGAGGAGTAGTAGTCCTCTAGTAGTACTAGTAGTCCGACTACTGCCGCAGAGCCTTCAACCAAACATAACTTAAACTTTGGACATTATCTTAGCTAACAATCTGAATCACTACTGTGAAAATCGGATCGAATGTTTATTTACTGGGCTGCGCTCAGCCTGTCATTCCGCCGAATCTTTATTCATGTTAATGAACATAATAGCCTGGGGTCCCCAGGTAAATGTTTATATATGATATTAAAATATTTGTAAATTCATCCAAATTAGTAACGTACACACAACTCGGTGAACACTTTTCGTTCCCCGTTTCGTCTGGCTTGATGATCGTTGATGATCCTTGTGCCAGTAAAAAGGTGGGCAAATTTTATAACCGAACCGTTCTGATGGATCGTTAATTACTGATCAGACCCTAATTGACATATTATATTTGATATGATAAGCTTACACTTTCTTCACGTTTGTTATTCGCATAGCATTTGATAAATTCATCATATAATAGCATTCAAAAGTAGGTAGAGTTTATATTCATGAATATACTGTTATTTTTCACTTGTTTGTTGTTGAATTGATTAAAGAAATATTGAATGTAGTTTCAATTTCAATTTCATGCAAATATGCATTATGCAACTAATACTATAGATATTTTAACGTTTAATTAAAACCGACTCGGTTTGCTTATTAAATGAGAGCGAGTTATAGGTTCGTCATCATATTAAAGACTGGTGAGTAAAATTGAAAGAAAATTAATTAATCGCGATTTACCAGAAACAACGATATCATTTCCAGTCGTGTGCTCTATCATTTGTGACAGTTTAGGTTAATGTTGGGGGTACTTTTGGGATATAATTATAAGGATCAGTTACCTATAGGGGTACCCTACGGGTTACTCAACTTCAAGTAACTCACACTTTTTGGGAGAGTGTCAAAGTGGAAACTGTTAAAGTAAATCCTTACTTGGTCAACATTTTGAAGTGCCCGAGTAGGAGACCCTCCAAAAAGGCTCTAATTGTTTACTTTTTGGCAGTTCCTCTTTAGGTTTGTGTTTAATTTCTGACGAGTTATAACGAAATTCCGAGAATAAAGTTATTCTAATAGAAAATGGTTCAATTGTATGAGAATTTAATCTACAGTATGCACTATGCATGCTGTTTCACTTTCAAACTTTGGTGTTTTTTAAACTTGTTTAACTCCGTCGTTATGTACAATTATGACGGTTATTTTTGGATCTCTGTTTTCAAAACCTGTTTGTAACAAATTGCAGTGGGCTTTTATCTGCATCACTAAGCTTTTCAAAATAATTTCTGTTTGATATTGAACATATTTTCCACCTTGGGCACTTATATTTTTCAGATTGGTAGATTTTCTCCATATTTTAAACTCGTGATATAGACACGGTGCGGGGAGGCGGTAAAGTTTGTTTTGACACATGACTAGTAACCAATATTAATAAGCTTACAGAATCTACCAATCAAATCTAGACGCTGTCACACTTTTTGATTCTTCTATCTTTATTAAAATCATTCTTACGAAAAACCAAATAGATCAACTGAAATTAATTTCATGGTCCCATGTGTTACTTTAGCTGTGTTTGCATTATTGCTACACTGTTCAACGTTTATACAGGACACTTACCTGCACAAGTACCGTGACTCGTTGTGAAGGACTAATTGTGTACCATCAATAAGGACACCTCTCTCCTCCAGAGTGCTTTGGTGGAGTCCGCTGAGATGCCGTGTGGTGCCGAGTTGTTGACAGGTGGTGCCGTGCCGGTTTCTATAGGCCGCTCCGGAGTTACCAGGAAGGTACCGACATACACGGTACATTTGTTTTGCTATTCCCGCCATTATAAGTAATGTCACTGAGAGGACAAGCTTAACTCAACCAAAATTAAACGAGGGAAATCGCCTAATGGAAGATTAAGTTAAAATAGCGGGCAGAGTATTACAAATTAAGACTAGATAACGAAACCAAAAAAATAAAAGAACTAGAACCATCGGTCAGGAGAGAATGGTCACATTTCATGTCAAAGTCCAGCACATTATGCATTATGACGGAGTCCAAAAAATATCCGATGTCATTTTATCAAAAAATTGTTTACCGACTGACATTACGGTGTGCACTACTGAAATTGAAAAAAGCAGGTCAGGGCGCATTTCGGTGGTCCCGTTACTAACTGAGTTAAGTTTTCGTCGGAGCAACACACATGGTATAATGTTGTTATAAGCTTTTATCTCGTTTTTATCAACTCGGAAAGAAGACTCGGCATCACAGTTATGTTAACTTAATTCAATTTATATCAGTTGACTTCAGTTCTTCTGTCAAAATTCTTTGGTCAATGGTTACACTTATAGCCATTATATGTATATACTCCATATTTTGTTTTCGTTAGTTGTTATTAGCTAAGCTGATTGAATGATGTCCTGTTGATTTTGGTAAAGCCAGCAGTCGATATGCACATAATCAGCATTTAGTCGCGGCAAAATACAGCGGGGCGAGAAAGATCAAATCAACGTGACAAGCAGAAACTCCAACGATCCCAACTCAGACATACTTAAAAGATTCCAAGTTTTTTTGGTTTTCACATTTTTTAAAATGCAGAAAATCTCTGCAACTAAATGATGCATCTAATGAGGCTTGACATGTGCAACCATGAGCACTGTATTAATAAAACGACGAATATCATTAAATAATTACATAGGTTAAGACATGCCAGCAGTCGTATTATGTGCAGTAGGAAACTCTACCTATTAAAAAAGTATTTATAGAATTGCTGGAGTCTGCAGCTGCTTTCCATGTTCGTCACACTTTTGGTGTAATCTGTATTGTAATTAGTATTTCAGTTAACAATATAGCTGAGGAATAGTGTTTATTATGGTCGCGTTTCAATATGACGCAATTTATTGTTTGTCGATTTTACTTATCAGTTCCAGCTTAATTGAAGAAAACTTGCGAATTTTAAAGACGGCAGTCCAATTAAGCAGAATCTTCAAAAATTGTGCAATCAATTGGAGAAATCACTTAAAAGTACCACACATTGCACCAGACAGAAAGAAAGGAAAGAGCAGCTCATCATAAAACAAATGATTACCTCTGACCCTACAAAGTATCACTATACGAGGGACAATAAGATGAAACTTACAGCAGTATAGCACGGTTTTTTCATTTTTAACTACGATTACTAATATAATTTATATCTTTATCCATCGCTAACAGTTTAGTGTGATGAAGTTCTTTTGTCCTTCGAAGTTTTCAAGATCTGTGTCATTGCTGTTGTCAAGATTGTGACTGAAATAATTTGTTTATGACAGGCATATTTGTAATTAGTAATTAGTATTAGTAATAATATAATCTAATATAGCTGTGACAAGGTCCTGACACTGGCACGGTCAATGTCGGACAAGTAAATAAGAGAGTTCACGAACACACCCTTGTTATAAACAAGAGCTAGGATCTGCATGGGAAATGGCGAAGATCCGGCTGGTGTGCGTGCTTTTGTCGCAGGTGGTGTTGGTGGCATGGCATTCTTGGTAGCTGGGCAACCATTCGATACCGTCAAGGTTAGTAAATTATGTTCACTATCACCTTGTTAAGTTCATTTCCGGTCGTTTCATCGTATGAATTTTGTTCTGTAATTCGACCACAGGAAGTGTGAAAAGAGGTTTTATGTGTTTGATCAGGTACGAATGCAGAGCCAAGCAAAAGGTACACTGTACAAATCTTCAACAGACTGTTTGTACAAAACAGTCTCACGAGAAGGCATCCGGGCCTTGTTTAAAGGAATGTCAACTCCCCTCGCTGCTTGCATCCCTTCTTATGCTCTTTGGTTTCTGGGCCACGACCATGCGATAACTTTACAGCAGAAGCTACTTGGTAGACAGGAGATGAGGTAAGAAAATAACAAATTGAACTGGTCCAGGGCTCCTACTTTTACATGATCTATGCATATGACATACTGCAACTCTTGGAGGCATTCTCATGTCCGATTTGTTTCAGTCTCTGGAACCACGGATTAGCTGGCCTGACAGCAGGTGCCTACATGGTGACGATATTGGGTCCTGGAGAACGGGTTAAGTGCTTGCTACAGGTTACAAATCTTAACATTAAATATCTTACATTCCTGATAAATTTCATAAATGAGAGAAGAGAATTAAAGAAACGCCATTTTAAGACGGGAGGAGGATTAGGACTCCTCGCTCCTCGGACTACATTAAATCAATTCCTTCTGTATCGTCCTCAATATAAATGTAATAGATTAGTAGTACTGCAATTTGTTTAAATATGTCACCTACATTCTTGAACTAATTCCAGATTTTAAGCTTATTGAACTCTGTAGATGCAGATGGACAAAAAGCAGAGGAAATACAAGGGACCACTAGATGTTATAAGTAAGACGTATAGGGAGGGTGGTTTTAGAACGCTCGGTAAAGGAACTCTCGTTACCGGTCTCCGAGGTAAACAGTAGACAATATAATCTACCATTCATATTATATTGTAATCGCCATCCGAACCAAAACATGCTCATCATAGTGGCAATGAGAAGTTGATATAGTGGGCTAATAGTAATAACTGAGTGAATTCGCACTCTAATTTTTTGTCCGGCAGATGTTCCTGGATCCGGCCTGTTTTTTGTCCTGTACGAGTATTTAATCAGCAAATATGGGGAGTCCCCAACTTCTATAACTATGGCCGGGGGAGTGGCAGGAGTACTGATGTGGTTTGTAGGAGTTCCCCCTGATGTTATAAAGACGCTCTACCAGACAGGTAATTACAGTGATCAGTTGTCTTGAATATCTTCTTTGTCAGGTTTTTAAGACGTGTTTGGTTAAATTAAGCAGCTCTACATATCACCATCTGTAAAGACATGCTTACTGCTTAGTGCAGTACTGAAATTCATTTATTCATTATGTTTGACGAGATCATGGCAATTTATTCGTTCATTAACAATAACACTGTATCGCACCAAGCACCTCCCAATGAATCTTCTTAATAATAATGTCTCCGCAGTTTCCTGATAACACACTTATAATAAACTCTATAATTTCAGCACCACACGGGAAGTACAAGTCATCTCTCCAGATAGTACCTGAACTGGTAATTTACTAATTCCTCTAGTTAAACTTTCTGTTTTCTAATATCGCTCAACACACTTTAAAAACCTAAATTTCTATTTTTATCACCTAAGGGATCGTTACATATTACGTCAGCTAGATTTTATACCCTCCCCGGCTCCCTCTCCGACTCTATGAGTATGATCACTTTTGCACTAATATTGAGTAGAATCTCAAGTGGTGCTTTTCCAAGCCCCCTAAGATGGCTTAAGTAACATGTTTACAAACTAAACGATCCCTTAATATTAAAGTAAAATATTACTCTTATCAGTATAAGTCAGAAGGGTTAAGCGGATTCTACAAAGGATTTGGTCCAAGTGGGATACGAGCATTCCTTGCCAACGGGGTACGTAAAAACATATTGATAAGTAGGGATAATAAGACATATATTATAAATATTACACGTTAATTCAGTAAATTGAGGACCTGATGTAGAGTGTAGGCGTGTATTTACCCACTATTTCTAACAGATAATATTTTCAATGATTTCATAAACAATCTTCGAAAGTTTATATTCGAATGTTCTCGTCGATGATCATGTCAAGCCTACCGCACACAACAACAACGTGCCCATCTTCACTGACGTGCATTTCCACCACAAACAATTATTAAAGGTCGCTAAAGGAGCACGAAGTTTGTGCTGCGATTATTATATTTTAGTGGTTACACATGAATATCATGGAGGCAACGATGCACGAACTTTTTATTGGACAGTCCATTATCATTCGAGTATAACCTGATGAAACATGAAGTTATATTTCCAGAGAAACTTAATCCTGAATTTTTTCAGATATGCTTGCTGACGTACGACCTGGTGATAAAAACGTGGCAGAAACTGTACCCCTTAGCAAACATGAACATCAACCATTCAACAAACGAATACTGAATTTTGCTTTTAATTAAGTTATGCTATATTACTTGAACATCATTTTGGTTTCAGATTTTATGATATATTTATTTCGTGCAGCTCTATTAGCGTTTCCATTATTCTATAAACGATCTCCAGTTTCATAAAGAAAATAAGCCAGTCCTATGGTCACAGAACAGTTTGGACTTTGGCACGGCTCTTATTATATTGAACAACACTACACTAAAAAGATATTAAATGCCACCAAGGTCGAGCAGCTTAAGTGCAAACTGATTGCCTCTTTATAAAGGAGTATAAAGTATAACGTGTGGATCACAGAATTGCTACCAATATTGCAATGATACTTGCAATCTCAATAACATATTTAATATTCATTTACGTCTCAAAACAAATATCAAGTGCTAGTGCTGCCTGTAATGTCCAAGCTATGTATGTGTTATACCAAGAATAATGTCAACAGTCAGTCATATGAGTCGCAAGATGGAATGAGATTAAACGGGATGAATATGAGCTTGTTTAACAGCTTCTCCCCAGTCCCCTGACGGCCTCTCGGACAGCTTTGAGAACACTCTCAAGTAGAGAGAAGCGAAGTTTCGTTCTTATGAAGCATATCACGTGAAAGTATTCCTACACTCTTTTACCAATGATGTTTAATGTGCTTCTGACAGTAAGTAAGCTAATTTGCTATAGAACACCGGCCTCTAAAGTCTAAATCACTTTCAGACTTCAGAGGAACAGCCACTAATATGAGTGACAACTCATTCGCAGTGAGAGCTGGACGACTCTGGAATGTTCTCCACAAAATTGTCAATATTCAAAAGACATTGGCCAAAAGTTGGTGTCAGTAATAGTCTGTTGTCGTACATAATGCGTCACCATTTGTCTTCCATTCGATCCGTCGCGTACCGCTAGCTTGAAATGATCTGAATTCCACAAAAAGATTGAAATGTACGTACGTGCGCTCTTCTAAACAAGCGTAGAGACTATACCAAATTATGGTTCGGCGGGCGCGCCGTACGTTCGTGGACAGTAACTCACCCCAGGTTGAAGTGTAGGTTCCCATGTTCATAATTCATATTCATAATTCAATTAAAGTATGTCTGCACCAGAATGCAAGACCTTTTTAGGAAACTTATGTACTAAGATTACTGAAAAAAGGCAAGACTCTTTTAAATTAAAGTATGTGTTTTTCAGAATCACATACGGAATGAAAATCACTGATATCGATACGCTCGAAATTATACCGCACTTATAAGTTATATATTAAACAATATTACCCCGTGGCGGTTGCCGGTTTCAACGAATTTTTTTCCAAGGTTCTGCTAAGTTTTTGCTTTAATCTAATATTGCATTAATTTTGAGCATTTGCTTCAAACTTCCCACATCAGAAAAGCTTATAATTATATCAAATCAAGCGTGTGACCACTAATTTTAAAATTATGCCTTGCACTTCTGCGAAATAACGGCAGATAAGAGATAAAGAACAGCAAGGGCTAAAAAATTCAGGTGAGACCACAGTTTGATGTGTTATGAAATTACATGATTCTGGTAACGAGTAATCAGATACTAAGCCAGGCCAGATTATGGGGAAGAAAAAAACAGTTAATTCACGTAAAAATCGAATTTATATCCAGGACACAATATTATCAATCGGACTGGCGGCACAATATAATTTACATCAGCTTAATTACGTTTAATTATGTGTCCAGTCCGGTAAACACATCTCTCCATCTAGTTTAAACTATGATTAAGTACCCACCACTACTATATACAAACTTCATTTGTCATAAAAATGGGATATTCAAGGTATTCAATACCAAAAACATAATAAAAGGTAAGTGAGCAACATTCCTTTGTCTAATGCAGACAGTCTAATTACTTATAAATCTAAATGATTTATGTACAGTGTATACTGTATATCTGTATTTGCAATGTTTGGTGCAGTTAAATGGCTGCTAAATATCTACTTTTAGGCAGTCTCCTACATAAGCTTACAAACAAAATTTCGTTAACCCTTCTTAATCCAAACATTCACAATATAAACAAATTAAACATTAATCACGCTACTATTATATCTGGTGACAATGAAAAAACTCATCGATATTCTATTAATCTAGTTATATTTTGTAGTCTTCAACTAGTATTCCTCTAAAGGAACGACAGCGTTCATTGCCTTGAGAGCCAACTCGTATCCCAACATGCAGCACTGCGAATATACTAATGTTAGTAAATGTGTTAATGTGATAAAAAGCTTTACAAGATATTAAAGAGTCACCAAAAGATGTAAAAATGAACAAATGAAATTGAAATAACGGTAAACTTACAGCATTGGCAGGCCAAGCTCGAAGCGCTATTGGAGCGAGTCCCTTGAAGAAACCACGGACGCCTTCTGTCGCATACTGAAATAGATACCAGTAATATGTGTAATCTGTATATCCGGAAAAAACTTTGAAAATTTCCTACCGGAGAAAACTTTGATGCAATGAAAATTTTGAATATGTCCGGTAGAACATATTCGAATTTCAGCTTTCCGCGACCCAAATTTCACTGTTTTGACTAAATTTTTCTTCAATGACCATCTTACAAGGTCACTGAGGATGGCCCAAGACACGATTGAGGTACTCAAATTTCTTTTCCCAAAGAAAGCTATGATAAACGGAAAATCATCAGAATATAAAAAGAGATTTTTGAAAGCTGAAAGTCGAATATGTCCTACCGGTAGGACTAAGGTATTCAAAATTTTCATTGCATCAAAGGTTTCTCCGGATATACTGCTTCCAGTACTTGATGGCGACTTGTGTCACTCTCACCGACCTCACTGATTGGTCACTGGTAAAAATTGCAATCAAAACCGCGAAATTTCGGTCAAGGGGACGGCAGAAAAGCTCCTCTTCAAAAATCTTCAAAAATCTATTTTCATATTCTGCTGATTTTCCGTTTATCATAGCTTTCGGAAAAGAAATTTGAGTACCTCAAGCGTGTCTTGTGCCAACCTCAGTGACCTTGTAAGATGGTCATTGAAGAAAAATTCAGTCAAAACAGTGAAATTTGGGTCGCGGAAAGCTGAAATTCGAATAGAAGAAGGTTTATATTGAGGTGCCTCCAATATCCTCTCTAGATTGATATCCACTAGAATTGGTGAATGACAGAGATGTTATTAATTATCATTTTAATTATTTCATCAGATAGAAAAGTAATAACTCACCAGTTCTGGTACTACACTAAGTGCACGCTTGTATTTTCCTTCTGGTGCTGCAAAATAACATTGGGTTAACCATTTGTTGAAATAACTTCATTAATAAAACATTAAAATATCATATTGGTGGTTTAGGATGGGTTCTAAGAATAGTGGTCAGTCGATTTTGTAAGCAAATTGAAAGCTTTTCTCTTTTTCTCAGACTAGTTTATTAAAACACTGATTGTTTGATAATATTGCGTTTGATTTATCATTTGAAGGATGTTCATATTAGGTACAACATATTCTAATGAATAGATTGTTTAACCTAAAGTGAGAGCGTTAATCTAACACCTGTTATAGTTGCAAGAATTAAGTAGGTTTATTCTAGATTAATAAGCCCATTGCCCAACTAATACTTATAAGCAATGAGAATATGGTTATCTCACAGGCCTTTGTTTTGAGTCTTCATGAAGAAACTTGCGTTTAAATTTACCACAGCGCTGTTAAATCGGCTCTTAACACACTCAATATCCAATAAGTTATTATCACAGTTTGAGTATATAATGTAGCAGTCTTGTGCGGTGAAATTCACAGCCCCTCACTACAATATTCAGTAGGCTATCAGATCGTGCAGGTCACAGATGAGTGACCTGGTGAGTTATCACATGACCAGGTGAGTTCCCACCTATCAACATCACATTGGTGGAGAATTATCAGGGTTTCTCCAATGTCTCACCTCCGGCTTTATAAGCCCTCTCTGATGCTCTCCAACCTCATCTCAAGATGACTCAACTACTTGTACTGTTAGCACTCTTAGTGGTAAGCACTGGAGCGTGGAGCCCTAAAACACGCTACCTCTACTGGAAGATATCCCGGGATGTGCAGGTGGTTGAAGGACGGACTCTCACTGTGAACACTATCAACGGCAGGATTAAAGGACCTGCCATCTTCGCTAGGCAGGGGGATTTCCTGGCAATCCAAGTAACAAACAACCTGCCAGATGCTGGACTGTCACTACACTGGCACGGAATGGAGATGAAAGGTTACCAGCTATATGACGGACCAGTGGGACTGGTGCAGTGCTCCCTGGCACCTGGGGAGACTATGACTTACAAGTTCAAAGTGCAGGAAGCCCCAGGAACCTACTGGTACCACACCCACAATGAGATGTTTCCCTCCGGTCATGACATGGTGAGAGGCCCTATCGTGGTGCTGCCTGAAGATGGACCCTGGTACCCTACCCATCTGGTTGATCCCTACGATTACACTCACCTGAACGAGAGAGTTCTATTCTACCAGGACTTCTACCCTAACTGGATAGCTCACGATTACCTGATGTCTCTCGGGGGGCTCAGGGGGCTGGGTGGATTCAATGCTGAGGGAGGATTTGCATTGACTGCACCCTGGAGTGGGGGCTGTCTGAACGGAGGAGATGAAAAGGGTTTCATGCAGTTTGATAACGGAGAGTACAGGTTCAGGATAACTAACGGAGGAAGTCTGACCCCCATGCTGTGGAGTATTGACGGGTACAGGTTCAAGATAGTGGCTACGGATGGAACTGATGTGGAGCCGTACGAAGTGGACCAGATCAGATCCATCTTGGAGAGAGGTATGATGTACTGGTAAACTTCAAGGTAGCTGCACCAAAGAACGTGTGGATGAGAGGTGCGGCTACTGCAGTGACAAACCCAGCAGCAGTGATACTGACCACTCTGCAACTCAGACCTGACAGTTCGTTCAAGTATGTGGAGGGACCAGCCAAAACCACTCCTAACCCTGATCCAGTCGTGATGAACTGCAACTACTTCGGAGAGCAGGAGAAATGTGTGTCCATAACAGCGCTCAAGACAAAAGCAGCAGAGTTCCATACACGTCCTCCTCTTGACGACACTGAACTTCACACTGCTGACTTCTTCTTCTCCCTCCCCCCTGTCTACGGATACTTCTTCGCACTTGACGGACGCACCTACATCCAAAATGCACTGCCTGGTAAACCAATAGCATACCCTGACTTCGACAACGATAAAGACATGACCAACCACACAAACGTGATGAACCTTGGTTTGCATAAAACTGTCACCATGGTCATCCGAAATGAGCAGGCATGGACCATCCTATTCATATCCACGGTCACAAATTTGAGGTTCTGGAGCAGATTTCCCGTGAAAAACCAAACTGTTTCGGAGGACATTGTGAGCTACCTGATCTGGAAACCGGCTTCTCCGCCCCCGTCTCGGAACTAGCTAAGAGGAAAACTCGAGGAGTCCTGAAGGACGTGATCATCCTCCCCATGTTCGGAGCAGCAGTAGTGAGGTTCAACACTGACAACCCTGGTGTGTGGTTCGTTCACTGCCATTTCGACGAGCACGTGGACGCCGGTCAGGGCTTCATCATGAACGAGGGTAACTGGAAAGCGAGCAAGGTACCGGACGACTTCCCCTCGTGCGACTACACTGGACGTCTCCAGAGCCTGACTACTGAGCTGTGTGGCTGTGATCCGGACAGACTGGACCCAACCTGGCTCTGTTCCAAGATTACATGTGTCACCATACCCGACGTAGAAAACCCGAGCACTAGGAAATGTAACGAAATTTTAAGAAGTAGCTGATTGGTTGCAGCAACCTTTACATGCTGTCCATCATTTCCAAGAGACGGTGAAGATGGGAACAAGTGATGAATGCATTTGTTCCAAGATTTATTCCAGTTTAATTTTCTGCATTTAAAGACATCGTGTTTAATTTCTACGACAATTATACCAAGGAATCTAGTATCCACAAAAACATCCCAGATTTAACCTACCTGTCTGATATCTAGTTTTAACAACATCAGGAGGGATAGCCCAAGCCCAATTAGCCCATCCAGCAAATCCTCCAGCCAATAAAACTTGGAAGAAAGTGAGGTCATCACTTCCGTTCTGACTCCTGAAGTAACACTTGGTTGCCTCGTATGTTCCGAAGTAGCATCCAGACGCCGGCATATCTGTAAATAAATCCCAGTCATTCATAAACTACATTAATAACTCATTTTCTAAAAGTTGCTCAAATATATATGCAAAGGATTTTAACTAATTTGATCTCTGAGAATGCGTTATTGTGGCTTATAAGACAATATTACAAGGTCTCAAGTTGAAATCTTTTGTCGCCCTTATTTTAAAAATGTGGAGATATGAAAATATTAAAAATATTTGTAAGCTGTAAATTAACGATAGAATTGACGAAAAATTACTTGAACAATGAACTAGTTGAAATAAAAATGACTCTGCCCACCTCTGAAAGCAGTTATAAAGGTTCCCCTCATAATGCCTCTCATACCACTCTCTCTGTACGTCTGCTTTATCACGTCCATTGGTCCGGAGTACTTAGCTTTACCTGTCGTCTGAATCTGGTGGAAGAGTTTAACTTTAGAGGAATATTTGTAATTAATTAATTAATCAAAGTGTGTGCGGGTGTGTGTAATGTAATGTACATTATGTTGTTTAAGTTGTCCAACGGGCAACGGCATAATATTTGTCAGATGAACAGATGAATCCTCTTTTGCCTTTAATCGTCTTTTCTATAGTACAAGGATTTGTTGATTATTTTTTGATTTGTGGACAGTAGACAGTAAGTTTGACTATATTAGCTATTAGCTAGTAGCTGGCTAGTGACAGGCTAGTGACCGCTTTTGAATAGCCGGCTAGTGACCACTTTTTAGTTTTTACTTGGTTATGACATGGTTATGACATGGTTATGTCCTGGACCCTGGTTATGACGTCGGGATTATAGTCTATGACCAACAGTTCTTTGATCAGGTTTGCTACAATTTTCAAAGCACCTTCAAACGTTAAAAAGTTTGTATAATGGTATGGATTTCTATGAATATGTTTCACTTTCAATACACATTTTTGTATTGTATTCGAATAAAGTTTAAACCAAATTTGAAAACAGCTACTCTGATTATAATTTACATCGTGAATGTGATCCTTAAAATGAAGTTTATTGATTGAAATCAGTATATAAAACATATTAAATGTACCTGAAGAAGACATTTGATTCGTTCACCGGGGGCAATAAGTACCGTCATGTACAGTCCACCGAGCGATCCAGCCAAAGCGTGGTTAATTGGGCTGAGATGAAATAGTTTTAAAAATCTCTATAATATATGTGTAAATATAATTGCAAATGGTATGTTAGGAATTTAAGAAATTAAGTAAACTTACGTCAAGTGTTTATTAGGATTGTTCATGAGTTGGAGGGATTTGCCGTGTGAGTATCCGAGAAAGTTAAACGCAAATATGGGGACCACTCCGACGAGAGGAGCTGCCATACCTTTGTAGAGTGCGAATAACCCCTGGTAGCATACTTTAGATTACTGGCATACTTAAGATTACAGCACTGATAATGTTATAACGTCAATCTTAGGATTATGTTTAACCAATTTACTGTATAATGAATGTTGCTTCTTAAACTTGGTTTGTAAATCTTAAACTTGGAAAACATGCATTTTTGAAACTGCACGATAAAATGCAGGAAGAAATAATAGGAAGTGTGAACTCACTTCGTTTTTTACGGTTTTAACAACACAGTCAGTAGTTCCCTTATAGAGTGCTCCACCTGTTTGATTCTGCATTCGAACCTGCAATGTACAGAATGACAACGTTTGTCACTCTATAGAAGACGATTATAAAGACATGGTAGATACCACAGAACTATTTAAAAAGGAAGTTAAACAGCACAATATTATAATATATTGGTATTTCAGAGATGACCCTACCTTGATGGTGTCGAAGGGTTGCCCTGATATGACACAACATACTCCTCCAAAACCTCCACCGACAAAACTTCTGACTCCTCCGGCTTCTTTTTTATTCCCCATCCTAGTTCTTAGGTAATTAGTAACTAGTTAACAATTATTGAGTTTCGCAAATAGATTAAACGTATTTTACAGATGATAAAGTGACGTCAAGAGTAAAAGCATTTTTAAGATTTGTTTATTGAGTACAATGTAGATTTGATAAGAGAACTGACAGTAGCTCAGGTCATGAAATAAACACACAGTCAACATACTCAAAACAAGGAAATATAAAACTTTATTGAAATCGCATAATTTTTCAGACAACATTTTTTCCAACTATGAGTGATCAACACAAACTTTACAATCGAGTTTCAGACAACGTTATTGTATAAAGATAGTCAACATGAGATAGAAAATGAGATAGAAGGAGCAAATGACCCCAAAAAAATAAATGCATGCACATTTCATATTGGCAAAATAGTTATGAATGTAGATGATGCAAATAAATTAATTCTAGCTGAGTTTAAGTATCATAAAATAGCACAAATATAATTCCTATTTCCCGAAGTAATGTCCAGTAACTTTTCTACATCCGTTGTAATAAATTAAACTATTCAAAGCCCATAAAGAAGCTACATAAAATCGCGACATGATACCAATCATGAGTTATCTTCTGAAGGGCTATCTGTAGAAGAGTTTGACTCATCATGTGACTCATCATGTGACTCATCAGGTGAACTTGTAGTTCCAATCAAGCTGTTGTATGCATCTTTTGACTTACTTGAAACTAATCGACCAAGAACTTTAATATCACAATTCTCTTGTAAATATTGACAAGATGTGATTATTCCTGTATTCCAGGATTTCTTAGCAGAGGTCACCAATCCACTTACATTAACACCCTGAAGAAAAAACATGTTAGAAGAAGAAGTTGAAATGATCGCCACAGAAATGACACATTATTTATTTCAGATAAGGTACTATGCGCAAGAGATATTTAACTAAATCGAATGAACATTCAAACACTCTTAAACTGGGATAATTAACATTTATTCGGAAAAAATTTGAAACGATGTTTCATATTAAAATGAGTGATGATAACAAGTCATATTACATAGATATATCTAAATCAGCACACAGTGACCACGTCAGCAGCCCATTTAACGCTCACTGTCTTTAGGCCCCCTGTATCATAGAGCTTAATCTTTTGAATCAACTAACCTGAGTGAGGACATTCCCGAAGCGTCGATCTGATTCCTCAAACGAATAGCTCAATTTCTCAGTTATTTGATTCTCATTCCAAAGCACTTTAGCCTCTCCAATTGCAAAGACAGTCGCACTGCCAACAGCTGCAGCTAGAATGGTTCCACGGATTATTTTAGACATGTTCTTCAATTCACATTCCCTAAGATGTACAATAAAGTTTAAAATGTTTGAGTGGCTTTCAAAAAAGTGATACAATAAATATTGAAAGGTAAAACAGTAACTTGCACTCATCAAAGCCATCCCTAAGAGTACTTATGAAGCTACTGCTGAACATATTTTGCAGTTTAAAATAAGTGTATTGTGTTCAGAATTTAAATCCGAATGGACTCACAAAATGTCAAGGCTCATTTAGGAGCTACGTGTCGATAATGTGAGTGACCCTGTCTGCTGTCAACAGCTACAGGATCTAGTAAGTTGGTGGGATCGACTGAGCACATCATTAACTGATAAGCTGCGCAGCACTCATCAGCTCTGTTAAAGATGATCAGGTAAATGACACCCACAATAAATTGCTCATTACTCGACTCATGTGAGGTTTTCAAGCAAATTAATGAGATGGTTAGCAAGCTCATCATCACAATATGATCTTCACTTTATTACCAAGACCAGCCGATTAGATGGCATATCGAGATATTCAAGATATCAGACAATTTGAAAAAGCATCATGAGGTCTGAAATTGTTTCTTTAACTCCGGAGATCGTACGATATGAATAATTCCCAACCGTTCGGGAGTTACAGTATACGAAAAAGTATGTTTACTGAAGGACCCACATACATAATTCAGAAAATAGAGAAACAATATATTGATATACGTATAAAAAAGCTGCATACCTTACTCGGGAATATTATAGCGGGTTAATTTATGACTGGGAAAATTAATAACCGGGAAAAATATGGCGGAATTTCCCAAAACCCGCCAAATTATCCCGGTCATGTATTTACCGGTGGCCGACCTTTCAAGTTTTTTTTTCAGAGGTCAACAAATTTTCAACCGAAATTTCTGTTTTTGTTACTTGTTAAAGAAGTTATTTCAAATTACAGTTACTGATATTACTCAGAAATAGAAAAAAAGACACGTCTGGGCACTTTCAAAAACTATGTTAACGAATCTGTCACGGGAAAAATTTCAACTTCTAGAAGCTCTCATTTGGTGGATAAACTCAATATTTTGATTAAACTTTTTTTCAGCATAGGATTTGCGATAGTTCAACTTTTACAAAAAGAATAGAATGTCTACTATGTCTATGAGCAGAGATACACGCATTTAAATCAGGGCTAATAATGGTGGATATACTTTTCAGAGGGGTTTGGTGGATATATCATTTGTTGGCCTGTAACTTTACGTGTGGTTAATTTATGGTGATTATTTAAAGATAGAATTGTAGCAAATCGATATGCCTCTATGATAAAAGGCGAAAACAAAGAAAGATTTCAATTTTAAGGCTAGATATGGTGGATAATAAAACGATGAAATAAATTTCAATACCGAAAATTTTCAACTGAAAAAATTATATTGGTCAACAAGTTCACCAGCTTTACTCAGTGAACGGATCAGGTTGGAAATCGTTTCAAGTTTATGATAGCATAGAAGATTTAATTTTTAGGCCATTTTTGGTGGATATATTGGAGCTTCAAGATTGATTTAATTTTAAGTCAATTTCTGAGTCAATAATGCAGGTTATCCATTGTTAGACCCCAATTATCTCGTCTAGAAGCTGAAAATGTATACAATTATTGCTCTAGGGCCATAATGAATGGATATAGTTTCATACGAACTTAACAAACTGTTTCCTTTCAGCCTTCAGAGCTGTTTTTGGTGGATAAAAGTACTAAAACGGGAAAATTTGCTTTTGTATCCACTATTTTTGGCCGTAGATGTGTTCTATCATGAAACTACAACTGTTTCTAGATAGAAAATCCCCTTTGCTGAGTCAGTTCAAAAGAATTTTCAGTCGAAGACGACTTTTAAGGTTAAAATTGGTGGATATTAAATGTGAATAACCTACCTCAGTGATTGAAATAACGATTTCTTGACTGATAACGTATGTGATCCACTTTCAACGCCCAATAATTATATCTTAAGATCGAAAGAGCTGAAAATCATTGCTCTGAGGTCGAAAAGAAGGGCTATAGTTTCAAGTAAACGTTCCAAACATTCTCCATTTAGGGCCGTTTTTGGTGGATAAATGCCTAAGAAATTAGCTTAAAAACGGTTAAATTTGCTTTTTTATCCACTATTTCTGGCCTTAGATTTGCTCGATTATGAAATCATACACTGATATTGGTTTGTTTAGACCTTTTTCTTGTTCAGCACAAAATGTGATAAGCTCAAGCCGACTTTTAAGGCCAAAATTGATGGATATCAAAATATCCAGGTCGATATTTTAAGTATTTTTGAGTTAATTATCCACCAAATTGGCCCTGAATGCTTAAAATGCCATAGTACCTTATGCATAAATGTTCAACATCTTATATTTCATCTTTTTCAACTGTTTCTAATCATGATGATGTCTTATTTATTGATATTTTGGTAACATTTACGTGTTTAACTAATTAATATTGACTTATATCCACCAAAAATAGCCTTTTAACTTGAATCTTGTACTTCATAGTTGATGCCATAGATTTAACATTGCCTTTGCATCATTTTAAGACCAGTAAATTGATGTTAGCTAACAAATAACAGTCTTAAAAAAGAGGTAAAAAAATATATCCACCAAATTTGGCCCTTAAGAAAAATCCCGGCCCTACTTATGAAATTATGAAGTTATAACGATTATTGTTAAGTCTCAATCATATTTTAGGAGTTTAGATGGAATTAAATATTTTTAAAGGCCACCTGAAGTGGATTGGTCTGTTTCACTTTTATCCACCAGATTTAGCCCTAAATCGAAACAAAAAGTGGCAGATAGTAAAGGTTAGGGTATAGCACACCATATCCTGGAGTTTCATTCCGTTCCAAAAATTATCCACCAAATTATGCCACAAAAACTGATTTTTGGCAAATTTTAACATTTTTTCCGTGACAGATGTTTTTGAAAGTGCCCGTCTAGTATTTAAAGGAAAATAAATCTATAGCAATAATAAGTCAAATCTTCATTAAAGCGTATTCTCATTCTCATTATCGCTAATTTCCCCTCCATTATCATTATTGATATCCCCCTGCTGCTGACCGTCAAATTCGAAGTTGTATTGTTGTCTTAACAAGACTTTCATTTTGTCCGCTAATGGGGCTACTGCTCTGAAGGTCAGCCGGAGCTTAATTTCCTGCCCACCGCTTGGTATTGGGGAACGTCTTGGCTTTGCATCTTCAACTGCTCCAGTAATCAATCCACCGTGGAGCATGAAATAGTGGCAAAGTTTACTCACTTCATGGGCAAGAAAAGTGAGAATCACGGTCCACCCTGAAATCTGATTTCTATAACCAAATTGTGATTTTTATAACGAAATTATGGTAGCAACCGCCAATAAAGTTACAGCCCTCCATCCACTGCTTCAAAAGTCTTCTCTAGCACACATGAGACTTCAGGTAAAATATGATGATCACCACCCCCTTGGAACCCCATAGTCTGAGTCGGCGGGTTTTTTTATGACTGGTAAAATTTTTGACCGGGAAAAATATGGCGGAATCTTCCAAAACCCACCACTTTATCCCGGTTATAATAATCCCGAGTAAGGTAGATGAATTCTCGATAATAAAATGTCGCGAGAGAGTGCAACAACCAAATCCTCTAAATGTTGCAGGGGTTGTGATTTTGGACCAAACGGAAAAGAATATTCAAACAATATACACATAATATAGCAATGGCCAATTGGCTGACTATAAGGTCATGGCCTGAACAAACAATTTTTAAAAATAGTCAAGTGATGCTAAAGCAGAGCACAAATGTGTAATAAGTTAATAGATTAAAAAACTGATTCATGTGATGCATTACGCAGAGCACAGATAAAAATACTGATTCAATGATTAAAATTATAGCTGTGAGTGTCAATAAATTACTGTGTCATAAAAAAAGGAACGATGTACACGTGATCTGAGATACCAATATCTCAATATCAAAAGGATAGTGTCTAGAAACATTCATAGTCCATGGTGGCAGGTATCAAGTTAAACGAAGTTACACTGACTGGCAATGTATACGATTGCCGTCTCCCTCTCTCACCCCTGACCGCTATCAGGGTGCTCCTGAGGATTGAGAATCTAATCCTGTTGCGCATGTAACACATAATAGCCGCATAGTCTTCTCCTCTCTTTTGGGATAGTTTTTCAGTGAGTCTCTTGTGGTATCTTGTGGCTTACTGGCTTGTGGACCCCATCCGCCATTTGTTGAGTATATTAGTGGGGTAAATGTGCCTTTTTCCACCTGGATGATTCTGTTGTTGTACTTTTTCATTTTCCTCATTTCATGAGCTTTATAGATCTGTTCCATATCTTTTTTGTCATATGTGGGTGAGTTGGGGTGGGTAACACAGACATCAAAGAATGTTCGTTCAAATGTGCTCCAGAGACCTCGTGAGGATACATCAGGTGCAGCTCTATCAGCATTGGTACCAACAATTTCTTCATTATCAAGGGGTATCAATGCTGGCTCAGTCGCTACATCTCTAGCTCTGCATACTACGCTGCAGCTCTGCATTTAGATCGCGGATGTTGTTGTGTCTCATAGAAACATAGCCACCTTTCTTGCATATAAGTGTGTGATTCACATTATTTCTCTCTCCACAAGCACAGTGAAATGGGGTGTTAGGGATCTCCCAACCATAACGCAAGTACAGAGCATCACGGAACTCAATCTTGTTCAGGGAGTAGCCAAATCTCTTCAATGGAAGTGCAGTAAGCCAACATCCTGAACCTTTCTCTTTGATGAACTGGAGAGATCTCTTTAGGTTGGGATCTCTTACACTGTCCTCTATTGATTTGCTAACCGTAAATAAGTGTTTCTCCTTGATTGCCTTGAGACTTTTTATAGTGTCATTTTGAATTGACATGTTGTAATGTTCAAGGGTGTTTTGCTGGTTGATAATCAGGTCTGTGAGGTCTTTTGTGATGGTGACTGAGGCTGTGAATTCTCTATTGCAGTTTTCAACTGGGTTGGAGATACCTAGGCCACCATGTCTGACTGGCAATGCAAATATGGAG